CCCACAGCAGCAGCCATGAGAGACACTGTCCTCAGCCCATAGAAGCTAAATTTCAGAAATGTTGCTTTCCTCAGTGATAGCAAGGGGCAGAGGGCACTGGCAGGCAGGGTCAGCCCAGAGAACATTTTCATTTAAGCTTCTGTGAAGCTGTGACTGTCATTGACAATGCATTCACCATCTGTGCAAATACTGATTTTCACCTGCAATACTCTTCAGAGGCAGTGTTTAAATGACCCGACTTGAGAAACACTTCTGCTTGACTGACCCTTCTAATTTCCACAGCAGTCTGTTTTCTGGAATCTCAGCTGTACGGCAGCTCGCTTTTAGCTGGGTTTTATTCTGATGTTGCAATGAGGGGAGGAAAACCCAGTGTGATACAGATATGTTATATAGACTGAGAGAGAAATATCTTTATTTGCTGAAGATGTTCAGGATATTTTCATTTAATCTGGTAAAAATAGCATTTCTATAGAAACAATTGATAAAACAACAAAGAGAAAATCCCATGCTAACTGTCAAAAGCCAACATAATGTTTGGCAGATGCATTGCTAGAGATGAGTAAATACTCTGCTGTTTTGGGCTTTTAAAATATACAACCCTTCCCCCACACTTACATGGTTAAATCCATTCACATTGGGCATGGGTACATGCTTTTTATTGGTGAGTAAGTAGAGGTTTGATTTAAAATATCCCTGCTTCACCTAGTCCCAGGGATGCGCAGCAGCCTTTCCTCAGTGAGATGTTACTGCCACAGAGTCCCAGGGTTCCACGCCAGAAATAGACCAGAGCTGCAGAAAAGCCACTCAAGGCTCTGTAGGTGTACTCTGAGGATATTTGGACACACCCCTGGTCTCTGCTCACCTAGCATGTTCTCCCACCAGCAAGAAAGCCGCCATTGATTGGTCACGATCCAGTTTTGCTCTTCATGCATGCACATTTCTTTAAGAACACGTGTAGTTTTTTTACTACCACAAAGAGTCCCGATGTGCTGTGCATGACACCACTGTGTGTCAGCCCCTGCTCTGCCTTGCTTAGGGCTCTCACTCTTCCAGATGGATTCCTGTAGACGTTGGTGTTGATGTGCAGTGCAACCAGTCCTTTGAGGCATGATATATTACCATTCCTTCTGAGTTCAGTGCTTAGTCCCTTGCAGAGTTGAACCTTTAGCACAGGTGACAATTTACTACTGAACATTTTGTCCTACCAGACTTAACTCTTTACAAGGGAATACAAGTAAGGACTTGTATCTTGGACTGGTCCCTTATTATCATCTGCTCTCCATTCCCAAGCAGACCTGTGTGCTGCCCACCATGTTGCTCTCCAGATACACTGTTCTCTACTTTAGTTTCTGTCTTCTGGCAACAAACTACTAGGATTATCTGTCTCCTTGGTCACCTGCTTCTGAAACAACTCATCCTAATGTTTAGCACCTCTACAACACAGATAATACTTCTGCATTTACAGATTTGCCCTTTCTAATCCCACCAAGGCCACTGCCATATTGTCTTTGTTGTTCTGATCCCTTCCCTGTTGTAATCCAGTAAGAAAACATTTGGCTCTAGGCTCTCATACTTCTCTGCTTTGGAAGACCAAAACCATCCTCCAGAAAGTCACATGAAACTATTTGCTTGTGGCAGCTAAAAGAAGGACATGAGGGAGATTGTCAGGGTTTGTGAGAAGACTGATGACCTTTTAAAATCTCATGAAAGAGCTCTCCTTAAGTGAGGAATGTTTGAGTTCACCTCCAAAGACTCTTAGAGATGCTCTGGTGGGAATTTCTTTGCTAGAATAGCTTAGCAGGTCCACGCGAGTGTGTCGGTACTTATAATTTATAAGATAAATATGAAGACGTATAAGCATGGTTTATTGATAGAGCATAAGCTATATATAGTGCCCTTAACTGTATTATTAAAACTGAAGGTAAATAATTAATGGAATGAAGATACGTAAAACTCTGGCAGTTTTGATGGGAAGCATTCCTGTCTTGCAGTAATTAAAATTTGATATATTCTGACTATAATTTTATATCTTTCTGAAAAAAATATTATTTCCCCACTTCATACGCACGCTAAGAGAAACTGCGTGTGGCCGCAGAACCTGTGCAGCCATCATGAGAGAAATCAGGGAGGAAAAATGCTTATGGCTGTCAGGCTTGAATGCCACGCCACACTCAGGATAGGATTACCCTCTGTGGGTATTGACCAGTTCTGCCTGGTTGACCCTCAGATTAGTTTCCGATTAGATATACCTCAAATAACACCTTTTAGTTTTGCAAAGTTCAGTACTGACCATTCACATGAGAAGTATGACAGAAACAAAGTTAATGTTTTTTATTCTTAGAAATAGATGACTACTCAAGCAAAGCAAAATGCAGCTAGCAATTGGTTATGTCTCTGTAGGCATCTCTCCTGCGTTTAGGAGGAAAAGATGATGGGTGGGCCACCCTGAAGAGCCATAACTCAAATAGGCCCTGTCATGACTCAGGCCATATAGTTTACAGAATTGACTCAGCTTAAGATACATACCGTCACATATCCTGTAACACCTTTAGGGTATCTTTTTTCACTGCATGAATAATCATTCATTTACATGCATTTCCATACTAACAATGTTAGTAAGGTCAAAGTGACCTTACAGCTAGTTATTAAATTCGCTGAAGTCTGAACAGCTCAACCTCCTAAGTGGGCATCAGACAGTCTAAACAGTTCCAACACTTAACCCAAACATGTTCCAACGCAACCACTTCCAAGGCCTCCCTACCTTAATGTCGATGTAAGCGAACTGCAATGTCTTCATCAGGGTCCATGGAAAATCATTCCTAAGTTCAGCACCAGCAAAGCCTTGAAGTGTGAGAGGTCTTCTGCTCGCACCAGTGCATCTGTCAAACCCTTTTCTAAAATCAGGGGTGATCTCTGGTCTGAACATGAATGGTGCAAAAAACTAAAATTCCAGTTCTACCTTTTGCCTCAAGCAGGGGCACAATCCATTGATTTCAATAGATTTTGGAGCAGCCTTACGCAATCTTCACTGACCCACAAGCAATGATACACAAAAGCCAACAAGGTACCAAAGGGAATGTTAAACATCCCCCTTTGGTCAGCCAGGCCTGTGGCAGCAACAGAGTCCCAGAGGCATCAGCAATGTCAGGCAGTTTCAGAGAGAAAGCAGTTTCTACTGGTGCTCTTGAAGCTCAAATGCAAGAAACCTGAACAAGTGTTTCTTGCATCCCAAACCACTAGAAACTGGGAATGGCACTTCTGTCATGACAAAAATGTCATACGTGGCAAACGGTGGTGGTAGGGTAACAGTTGATTCCAGTGAAATAGAGAATTGAACATTGTATTCCTCAGCAGTCACTGCTATTCCTGAACTAGGCTTGACTTTAATTTGATTCCTGTTCCTTTAGGGAGTGCAAAGCAGAGCTCCACCAGCTGATGAAGTGCAGTCTGGCAGGGCAGCATCATAGAAGTGCTCCTAACACTCTTGAGGCTCCCTTCTGAGAAACTCCAAATGTAATTAAGAGCAGCTCTATTTATTCCTCCTGCTAGGGGCACCTATAAGCACCAGATGTAACAGTAGTAACTGCTGAAACACCTGTGGCAGAAACAAGTGGTAGAAAAACGTCAACTCATAAGGCTAGAATAGGAGTTACTCTTGGCTAGTCAGTTGGTCTAGTGGGGCAATTTCAAGTGATTTTGGTGGTTCCTACTCCAAGAATTGCTCAAAGACCTAAAATAGTGCAGTTGTCAACTTCACCATCTCAGGAACACGGTTGCTCATCAGAAGGCACACAGCTGAGGGAGATGTTTTCTGCCCAGCATTTTCACTGAGAATTTCAATCTTGTACAAGTTCATCACAGCCCTAGCTCCTTGACACTGTGGTTAAGACTAGTTGTCCATTGACAGGATGAAGGCTTATCTTTGTTTCTACAGATTTAAGTGTTTTCAGTGCTCATAATGCATATAAGTTGTTTCTGTCCGTAATTTTGCTGTAGTATCACAGCTTTCTGAAGCGATAAAAAAACCCCAGTGAGATCCAGTAGACCACAAAGTGCTGCGTTTCTTACAGCATCAGGGCACTTTTGGTGAGTCCTTCCCAGACAGTGGCCCCACTTGGTCCAGTCCAAGCCCAGATGAGCATTTGGGCCTGTTCTCTCACTCACAGAAGCCATCTCCCAGGTAAAAAAGCTGAAAGGCAGCCAAGCATTAAAACTAATGACTGGTATTAAAATCCGTGCTTCTGTAAGTTCTGGCAGCTTTCCAGTAGTTTTTAATAAAGCTTGGTATATATAATAAAAGAATAATCAGATGTGAATAATAAATTACAGCCATGTTCCTATAGCTTTATGTATCTGCTCTGCTGAAATACCTCCAGTCTCAGGCACATTGACACCCTCTACTAATGAAAAGGCACAGATCCTACATTTACACAAACGTATTTCTGTATATGCAGACACACACTTTTGGATGCGGGCGCCCTATACTTAGACCCAAAGAAAACGCCTGGGGAAACCTGCACTTGGGCTGCACAAGCCCAGAGCGAAACTGGGAGCAGCAATTCAGCAGCGGGATTTTCTTTTACGAGAGGCAAGCCACCAGCAGCACCGGCGAAACCTGCCTCAGCGGGACCGTGCCTGCTGTGCCCCTCCACGTGCCCACTCCCGCGGGGAAACCTCCGCCAACCCGCGGCTGAAGCCCCCTCAGGGAAGGGAAAATGGCGCCGCCCCGCCCCCCCGCCGGCGGGTGAGGTGGTGGCAAGAGCGGGAGGAAGTGACGTTAGCCGGGCGGAAGTAGCTGCCCAGGACAGGGCGGAAGTGCTGGCGGTGAGTGGCGGCAGGGCCGTGGGGCCTTTTCCCCTTCCGCGGGGGTGCGGGGTCCCCGGGGCGGCGGCGGCAGGCCGGGCCTCGCTTGGGGCGGTAAGCGGGGCCTCAACGCTTCGCCTTTACCACAGCGTGAAGACGAGTGCGGCGCCAGGCGCCGTGCGGCCTCCTCCGGGGCAGCCGCCGTGCCCCCCGTGCTGCGGGGCCCCGTTTCTCTGGGTCTCTCCCCTCTCAGGGAGAGGCCTCGCCAGGCCCTGGGGCCTCGCCTGCACTCTGCGTCTTTCAGACTTCGATTCGGGCTTGTTTGGGGATTTAGGGAAAGCCCATGAGGGCGGTGGGAGCGTCGGGACTCATCAGGCTTTGAGTTTGCTGCTAGCAGCTTGTTGCTTTTAATTCTTTGTGCCATGCTGGTGCCTCTTTGTTGCAGAGACTCTTCAGGCGAGCTGGGGACAGAGGCGTTTCTGGAGGCAAGGTGCTGTGTGCTTGGCAGGCGAAGTAACAATCCCTGTGTCTTAGGTGACCAGCGTGAGGTGTGGAGCCTCTTTGAAGAGATGTTCTTGCAGCTTTTGACATGGGGCTTTTTTCTTCTGGGAGCAGGGTCTTTACAGGTATCTGTCTTCGCTATAGCTGATAAGAGTTGCTGCTTGTCGAGCCTAGATGTTTTAGACTGTCGGTCATTACATATTGTGCACAGAAGTGGTTTTGTGACAGAGCAGAGCATGCACATCACCACTGTGCAAAGTAGCCAAGAATCCTGAATGAGGCTTTCACTAACTGCTAACCTAGAGGAGAGAAATTGTACATTTCCATTGACTGCTGAGCTGCCTCACAGGCGAGGCCGAGATGTAGCTCTCTGCTTCTCCTTTTGATTCATTACCTCAGCCAACAAGGTCTGAAGAAATACTTTAATTTGAGGCACTTATTGTGACAGCAGGACCTTGTATTTTTGACCCAAATCTGATAACTTTAGGAAAAGAATGTAAAGTTGTAGACTCGAGGATGGGGGAAAAAAAGAATGACAGGGTTCAGAAATCAGTGAGAGAGATGATTATTTGCTTTTACGTGTACTTGCTAACTTTTCTTTTTTAACTGTGCCTAGTTAATGGTGGCTGTTGTGATGTAAGTGTCTCCCTTGGGCTGTAGGGCTCTGCTGCTGCAGAAGAAAAATGCATTGTAAATGCAGATGAGGTAGAATAAAATAAAAGTCATAACGGTATTAGTTTATATTAAGTGAGTACAGTTTTTTGTGGCCTGGCAACACCTGTAAAAACCTTGGACAGGAGTGGAGTGGTACTCTGCTCAAACAAGTGCTGTGCCTGATACTTGTGTTGTTTTATGTCTGTTGAGAGTAGTGGCAGAGGTTGGTAATGTGCCTCAGAAGCTTAAATGCTGCTTCTGGAAAGCACTGGAAGATTATTATAGACCTCAGTTTCTCTCTAAAGTAAATGCCATTCTTTCTGATACACTGATGCTGTATCAGTTGGTGATTAGAGTCTCTTACTGTCCTCACTGGCCTTCCTTCTCAGGCTTACACTTGAGCTGAATTTCGTTAATCCAGAAGCATATCTTGGCATTTGAAGCAGTCTGTGGCTTTATTGCCTTCTCGGCTTTTGTGTCTTCTTTTAGTCTGACGTGCAGCACTGGTCCCAGATGCATTTGTAAAACTTCCTGCAATGCTGATGCGCGTTTCAGGCTGTATCCGTGGAAAGTCTAGATTATGGCAGAATACTATTTATTGAGACTTTTAGTGCAGACAATATCAGCAGATGATAGTGTATTTGCATAATAATCACTATGTGCTGGTGATCCTTTGACAGTATTTCTGGTCCCTTACGTGCATTCCTAGGGCAATATCCTCAGCAGGTTGCATATGTCAGCTAAATGGTGGTCCCTCTAGGCAAACAGTTGGTGTGTGGTTAGCTTTTAAGTAGCCAGTTGCAAGACTGCAGATAACCAGACCATAGGATGCTGAGGTTAGTGCTGATCATCAGTAATGTGTTCTTGCACGTTTTCTCTGAGCTCTGGTAGATAAGAATTACTTCTTACGGCTAGGTGAGTGTTGCTAAGGTGCTTACATGGCTTCCAGGGGGCGTGGAAAAAGGTACTACTAGAAAGCAAACTATTTTCACTATGTTCTGTCTGTTTGCAAGTCCCATACGTATTTAAGCAATTTCTAGTTCATTTGGCTGTAGAAGGACCAAGTCAAAGGCCTTGGTTGTACTAAATTTGTAGACCCAGTTAAAACGTGGAAAGAACATGTTTAAAGCTTTTATCTCTTTTTGCACCAGACAAATGCCCATCCCTGCGTTACCATCTTCTAACTCTTTACATTTGGGTGGCCTCTATATCCCTATGGAGGAAGGAGTGACTTTGAGGAAATGCTTCCTGGAACAACATAGAACCTTTTTAGATAATGACTGCATAGTTTGCTGCTTGTGCCTTACAGTTCCCCAGACAAATGAAGGCAGTTTCAAGGCCTGCTATATTTCTTGATTTACTCCTGTCCAGGTCTCTGTGTATTAAAGAAGTTTGTACAGCCCTGTGTGGAAGAGGCTTATTGCAGAAAGATTAGCAGCAGATTTTGCTTATAACTGGGTGGTTTGTGTCTGTTAATCCTACCATCATCCTCATTTGGGCTTTGAAGCCTGTGATGATAGGGCATGAAACACTTGGCTTCTGATGCATGTGGTGCTACTTATGCATATCAAAGAGGGACCTATCAGCTGAAGTATGACTATTGGAGCCCCTGTTGTGGCAAAAAGCTCCATAAATAAACAGCAGGTGGGTGTGTGCTTATGCTAGGAGTGCACAAAAAAAGGAGCTGTCTGCAGAAGTTGCAGTTTTTGCTGTGCAGTTGCAAGGGAACTGTGCTGAAAGGGAGTGTTTGTGCATTCTCAGCATCGGTTAGACTCACAATGACATCCCAGGTGTTTTTGTGTTAAGTCCTTCTCAGACAGTAGCAAGGCACCGTAGCAGTGTGCTCCCTTCCCTTCCTGCCCTGGAGTAGCCTTTGCTAGTGTCTGTGTTCCACAGGTGTCCTTGACAGCGTTGGTAGAGGAGTCAGGCATTTTCCCCGTGTGCTGAGGGAGGGTTTTATTGTTCAGAGGGTACAGGGAAATTCCCCTTGCTGCTGTTTCTGCCATAGGTAGGCTCACTGTAAATGGAAGTTGTTGTTCTGGGACTCTTGAGCTGAAAGCTTTCATTAAGGTCAGTGTTTGGAGATGTCTGAAATCGAGCAACTAACTCGTGATGTTGGCATTGGTTGAAGAGATCTAGTTCCTCAGTCATGAAGTGCTGAAGTGAATGGAGTCCCTGGAAACCTTGAAACCTCTGAAAATCCACTTTGTTTTGGTACACAAAACTCTTAAGTCTGAATTGTTTTATTCCAGCTTTTGCACAAAATGAGGGCAGGAAAAAGAATTTCATTGAGTCTTACATGGTTTTACACTAAGGCATTGATATAAAAAAACCCCCAGAAAACCAAAACCAAAACAACAAAGGAACCAACAACCAAATGTTAAACTCCCTGAACCTCTTTGTGCAGTTGGAACCAGCAGCATCACATCTAACCAATATTGGTCAAGAATGAGATCCCTGACAGTAGTATAAATATTCCAAGTGTAGGTCATAAATACTGCATGAAGTAATTTTGTGTCTGTTAGCATCCTTCCCACAAAGTATATCACCATGTATTTTACAATAAACTGTGATAATAGGATAAGACAAAACACTGGCTTTGGGACAGTGGCTGTGCCTGCACAATGACTGAACTTTGTTTTGGTCTGAGATTAAGATAGAGATTCACTTCCAAGCTTTGGATTTTCTCATGTGTACAGCTGATCTATATGGCAGATAATTGTAGTTTTTAAAATTCATATCCACTTTCCAACTTCACAATAAATCATTGAGTCTTGATGGGCTTTTAAAAGTGGAAGAGATCAAATATGTACAAAATATTTCAACATACCAAGTGTGGGAGGGTGTCAAGTCTGCAGCATTAGTGCTGATCAGTGATTCAATTAGTGTGAAATGTATTTGCAAACACTTTACTTGCTGCCTGCGAGAAATAGATTGATGGTCCCAGGCTCTGGGAATAAGAGGTGGAGAGTAATGATCACAAATATTTTCATGCCCAGTAGGTGGGAGGTGGAATAGTTGCCTTCCTAGTAAGTTCTCATATGCATAGGTGTAAAAGTCTTTATAAATGCCACCCTTGGCTTTCAAACCAAAACTGGCCTGGGCGGTGAATGAAAATGCCTGGACATAGTATGACTTCTGCCAATAAGAGGGCAGTGAAAGAGTGTGAGAGAACTAAAGCGGGAGGACCAAGTGCGGAAGAAAACCTTTTTTTGCTTGGAGATTTGAGTGAGAAAGAGAGCAGAGTTAGTGAGAGTGAGTGCATTGTCCAAATCTACATGGGCAAGCTCTTTCATCCTGACGGGATGCTAATGCTAGAATTCTGAGAAGACATTATGCTGGAGGGGGGAGGTTTGCATGATACTGTGCCTCTGATGTTCTTGGTTGGAGTTGTTAATGGAGTAAGTGTTGGACCAGGTTGTCTTGGACCAGATGCTTCTGTGGCTTTGCAAATCCAAGGCCGTGTTGTCAGCATTCTGGCAGTGCTGCACTTGTTGGCTGTTTTTTTTGCTGGATGGATGCCATTCTTCTCCCAGCTGGCTGGTAGACCAGGTGTTGGCTTGTCTAGTAGCATGTTGTTCATCAATGAAAAACAAGGTAAACAGTTTGTCTCGGACTCTGGTACAACTAATTGTGTCCTGGGGTGATCCTGAAGTAGGGTGACTACAGTATTTACAGGAACAGTAGGGTGGGACAAAAATGAATAGTTTTCCCTTGTTCTCCCCTTCCTATCCCCAGGAAATCCAGTTCTGTAACCAGTTTTCCATGTCTTCAATAGGTTTAATGTGAATAGCACGCAGGGCTGGGCTGCAAGAGCAAGAAGGCAGGATGTTGTCGAGACCGAAGCCTGGGGAGTCTGAGGCAGACCTGCTCCACTTTCAAAACCAATTCCTGGCAGCCAGAGCTTCACCTGCAGTGAAGATTGTGAAGAAAGCAGACAAGAGAAAAGGGGAGGAAGGGAGCACCGATGCTGAGAGACCCCGGCTACAGAACAGCAAGGATGTCGTCATGTTGGATGGTAATTTCCCTTGTGGGCTTCTTTGAATTACTAGGATTCTTGGTCCCTTTCAGTGTTCCTCAGTGCTTGCCTTTTCACCTCCCTCTCAAACCAGGATTACTTTTACCCTGCATGTGTGTCATCCTTGCAGTATTGTTTGTTCTTACCATTGTTGGAAAATGAAGCACCACCACCTTTCCAACACATCACCTTTGTCTACATTTATCAGCTGTCCATGGTACCTTGCCAGCCTCAATGCAAGAGGTGTTTTCTCTGATTTGTACCCATTGGACACTCACTGCTTATTTTGCTGTCTATCCGGACCCTGTTCTCAGTGTCTTTGAGATTTAGCTTTGCCAACTGCTCCAGCTTTCAGCCAGCAGATTTGGCTTGATAAGCCTCCTTCCTGCAGTTTTGTTTTCCTACACTGGGTGTAACCGTAACACTTCTGTCATGTGCTTAATAGTCTCAGAAGCTCAAGGTGCTTTATTAAAAGCAACAACTTAAATCTTGCAGCACTTGGTTCCAGGTAAGGAAATATGATCCTACTTTATAGGTAGTGACAAGGAAGCCTTGACTATCTCATGATCATAGAAATCACTCACTGCTAGAGCTGTCAGTAGAAATGTGCTTTTCTTTGCCTGAACATAACCTGCAAGGACACTATTTGTTTCTGTACAGCCTTGCTTCTTCCCTTAATATGTGCAGTCAGGCCTCAGTACCCTTTCCTGCTTTTGCAGCTCTTTGAAAAGACCTTGGTGCCAATACCTAAATAGAAAAATTCTTGAGCATGATTCTCTCTGCTACCCAGTGCAAGTCAGAGACAGAGGATTCTTAATTGTCTTATTGCTTCCTCATCTTCTTTGTTTCACATCAGAACAATAATAGGTGCTATTAGGGAGCCTTGGTCTTGTACCTATTGCACAGTAGTTACATATGAGTAACTTGACTGCTTTTTTTTTTCCTCATTATTTCCCCTCCCCAGAGTTTCCTGATGTTCTCCCAGCTCTAACTCCAGCTCCTCCAAAAAAGTCCAAGATCAAAAGTGCCTCTGTCCACTTTGAGGATGAAGATCCAGAGGAAAGACTGGAGAGACATGATCAACACATTACAGCAGTCTTCAGCAAAATTATTGTATGTCTGTTTTTTATGTGATGGTCTAGTGTTTTTTTTTTGAGTGCTGTGAACTAAGAGTGGACAGGGATGAAGGGTTCTGTTGCTGCTTTTTATTTCTACAGTGTGATGAAGCAGTTGTAGCACTGTAGGCCAGTGTTCTGGAGCACTTTGAAAGAAAAAGCTCTTTGGGTATATGTTTGCTGTCAGTTAAATATGGGTTTGAATCTGCTCTCCAGTCCAGACTGCCTACAGGTCACACTGCTTGCATGCAGGCATGTGTGGATTTAGGTGAGTTTATGGATTCTAAGAGGGATGTTCTCATTGCTCTGCACTGGCCCAGGTTTTCCTTTATCTGTTTTTTTTTGAGTGGTGTGTGGAGTTTGGCAGCCCAGACTTTTGGAAAATAGCCTTACTTTGGCTCTAAATAAGCACAAGGTATTCTCAGCCTGACAGCAACATAGCAGAAAGCTTGTGAGCTGCAGAGCTGAGATATTTTTGAGACCACTCTTAGCTAAATGATATAAACATGTCTGGCTGTTGCGATGGTTTCTACATGTTTTGCTGCAGGAACGAGACACGAGTGCAGTGGCAGTGACTATGCCAGTGCCCACAGCAGACCCATTTCCAAGAACGTTTCACCGCTCTGAGATAAAAAGTGAGGTAAGGTTGGGAGCAGCTGTTTTAGGCTACCTTCATTAACAATTAAAACTTCCCCACAGCAAAGCCTAATGCTTGGTGGGTGGTAGGGCTCAAAATAAGTGACTTGACATGCTGGAGATATTGAGCTAGCTCAATACACCTCTGGCATTGCCATTTTAGTGTAGGAGAGACTACCCACCAAGCTGCCATCAAGTAGGCACTCGATACCCTGCACTTAAATAATGTTGTAATCCTTTCAGTTTAGGAAAAAGGTGATCCCTTTCAGCTAACTTTAGTGAGATGGATCAAATCTGAACTGCTGTAATAGAATTGATCCTGTTCTTGTTTTTCTCTGATGAAAAATCTCTGTTAATTTGTCCACCAGGTTTGATTAAGTCCCTCCTTACTGAAGTCGTACCTGATATCTCCTGGCATGACATTTGAGTATGGTTGCACAGATTCTTTTGCAGCTTTTTGGAATTTGACATAATTTTTTTCTGAGTCTAAAACTGGAAGCCATGGCTGCTATCAGTTGTTGCTGTAGTAGCAGGAGCTGCTAGCTGAGTGGGAGTCAGATGCTGGGAATTGGTATGTGATTGATAGGTGTGGTTGCTTTGAAGAGGTAGCTTATTTTGAAGGACAGCTTTTTTGAAAGGAAAGAGTGATACATTTTAAACTACCAGTTATGCTCACCTGATGCAGGGAGCGTACAAAGCAGCTATCAAATGTTCAGACTGCCTTTTAAGCTTCTTTGAACTGGGGACATGCAAGAATTTTTTTGCTTGGTCTGCTTTGGTTTTCCTGTGCATCCTGTGCAAGACTGTTCAGAGCGATGCCCTTCCACTGCATAGGCAAACAGCACAGTAATTTAGTCAGGATTATTTTAGCACCGCTTGCCCACTTCTTACTGTGTAAATCCCTTCACCCTGCTGCTCTCTAATCACCTTATAAGAAGCCTGTTCCAAGCATGTGGTGAGCACAGTGCAGTACAGCCCCATTTATCCTCAGAAATGCAAAGTATTCAGCTAATTCAGAGTTTCCAAACAGCAGGAAAGCTGGAACTGTTGTTTGGTGATATTTTAGGTGTACTTGCCTGGCTTGAATTCACTTCTAATTAATCATCTTCCTCCTCTAGGTAGGAAAAACATTTATGTTTTTGTGTCTCTGTCCTAGCATTAAACTGTGTGTTAAAAAAAGAATAGCACAAGCACAGAAAAGGGCAGGTGGCTGCCAGCAGCTTCTTTTTGTCATGTCCCAAAGTCTGATCTGAGTGTGTCTTTATGATCAGATCTATACATTTGTTAGTGGCAGGTGTGCGGGGGAGTCTGGAGAGGAAGGTGGTGACACATGGCTTCCCTGTTTGCAGGTGAAGGTGGGTTCTGGAAGAAAAAGCATCTTCGCACAGAAGATGGCAGCGAGAAGGGCTGCTGAAAAGGCAGCAACGTCTCCCTCTGCTGCCGAGTGTGTGCAAACAGGATCAGCTGTTCCGGATGCCCTGGATCCCGAGGGATCAGCGGGAGAGGCTCCTCTCTCTGGCATCGGGGGTGGTAAGTGGAGAAGGGTCTGCTTTTCCAACCTACTGTATTTACATAGCCTGAGTAACCACAGCATCCATGCACCTTAGTTTTAAATTAGGGCAGCACCGTTGTCCTCAGATTAGGAATCTCAAGGTCACTTGGAATGTCTGTGGTGTGACAAGGATTTGAAGTGGTCTGAGACCCAAATTAACATTGTAAAAATTGGGTTAGCTTTCTCACTGATTTCATTTTTGCTTTACACAGGGCCCAATAGATTGATTTTTCAAGGCTCTTTTCCTCTCTGTTATATGTAAAGGTTTTCTTGTTTCACAGTTGATTTCCACAGTTTTGGGAAGAGGGTGGTTCTTGTGTCTGATGAAGGTGTTTGAGACCATTGTGATGCAGGTTCTTACTCCTACCTAGAAGCTCAAAGCTGAGTCTTCCATCACTAGATCTGCTGCCATGAGACCGTGGCTTTGCTACATAAGGAATGTTGTGAGGCAGTGCTGATGAGTCAGTGCCACCTCCAGCAGTTACTTGTCTGACAGCAACGTGACAAGGAAAGATGAAACTGTTTCAACTGGTACCAGCATCTCTAGGCTTTTTCTCTCCTTTTTTTTATTTTTTTTTTTAAATTTTTGCCTTGGGCAGTCTTTTTTGCTTAGGACCACTGTGTGTCTGGGTTTTTCCCTGACATCCTCTTTTTCACATGGAAATAGAGTCCAGATGTCATTTGAAGGTTATCACCATTTGGCTAAGGTTTCCATCTGCCCTGACCCCTGTCAGAAAATTGGTAAGAGAACACCCAGACGTGCTGTGCTGCGTGTGCACAAATCCACCTTCCAGGTCAATATACTGTGCTTACTGTATATCCTGTGACATTTGTGCACGTGAACTTCTGTCTGAGAAATCTCTAAGGGAAATACAGCAGCCCCATAACTGTGATCTTGAAGCAGAACGCACAACAGAGGGATCAGAAAAAGGCTTGACCTCCTCAGCAAGACTGTTGAGGCAGGATCTCTAGAAGCAAGAGGAGATGAGGGGGAAGCTCTAGATTTTGTAGTAACAACGTGGTTGTGCCTGGTAGCCCTCAGCTTAGTTGCTGATGGTGGGAAGCTTACTGAATCTTTTACCAGGTCACTCTGTCTTCTCATCTCTTTCTGTTTAATATGCAAGACAGCTGCTGCTGTGGAAATGACATCAAACTTTACTGATGTTATGAGGAGTGTCATTGCTGCTGTTTGAAGAGAGGTTTGATGCTTTTAGGATTGGCTGGTTTAGGGTCATAGGAACATTCCAAATCACTATATGGAGCATATGAACAAAACATAAAGAATAAAACTTTATGTCAGGTCCTTGTATATCGGGCTACAGGACAGCTGGAGGGTCTCACTCTGACCAAAGGAACATGTTTACCCTGCTGCTAGAGTTAAATGAAATGAGCCTCTAAAAAGGATTTAGATCTGGTGATAAAGGAGACTTGATTTTCTTCAGGGTAGGAAAAATTCCACCTTGCTGGAACTTCTAATATGTTTAACTCTTAAAGGTGAATACAGGACATAGAATCAAAAATGCCTATGTTGAGAATGGATCCTGTATCGCTCTGGAAACTGATTATCTAATAATTTTAATTCTCTGTCTCACTCAACAGATATTTACTGGGTCATGGTTCAGCTGACATAAAAATGTGGGCTCAGGTGTTCTTGGGCAGAGAAAGAATCTAGTATTCACTAAATTGGAAGAATGCTCTGACTCATCAATAGTGAATTATGCTCCAATTTACCTTTTCTTGCCATAGCTTTGCATTAAAAAACAAAATTCCTTTTCCTCCCATCCCTCCTCAAACTCCTAAATAAACAAGATGGAAATAATGTTTTGTTGTGACATGGGATGAAAGCACAAATATTTTAGTTCTGTTTGAAGTTAAACTAAACATCTTTATTCCTATTTTCACTTGTCTACCAAGGTTAAAAAAAATTAAATTATGCAAGCCCGGTAATGACAATATTGAGATGCGTTCATAATGATGTCACTTAAATCACTAACTACATTCTCTGTTGGATCTTGCAGATAAAGCTGCTGACTTTTCGAACTCTCAGTGGCCTTGTCTCATAACGGGAGAGGGTCTTGGAAGCCAAAAGAGTGAGCAGGAAGCTCAAGCTATTCACAGAGAGAACTTGGAGAAGCTGAGGTCCATGTCTGAGGAAGAGATCCTGCAGGAGCAGGAAAGGCTGCTGGCTCAGCTGGGTATGTGCTTCCCAGGGTGAATTCTAGAGACATGGAAGTTTACTGAAAGTGTACGTGTCCAAATTCACGGATGAAAGATGGGAGCTTGGGATTCCTGCTCATTGCATATGTGGCTAATCTAGCTTCCATGTCAGGTTGGTAGCTTATGAATAAGAATTAAGTGTGAAGGAATTAAAGAGCACTTATTCCTTAGTGAGAGGGGGCTTAGCTTAAGTCTGTCTCATCTCCCCTTTGCTGTGGGATAAGATGGTCCATACACTCTGTTACTTTGCAGACCAAATACCTTTTTACATATGTATGTATTGAGGTCCTAAAGTGTAATTCTCTGAAGAAGATAAGAAAGCAAAGCTATTCTTAGGATGGCCGTAGCAGTGCTGAGGTGAGAGAGAACCCTTGGTCTTCCCCTCCAAAATACCTAAGTCTTGGGCTAGAACTGTCAATACCCGGATAGGGGAATCGTGTGGGGGCATGTGGGGGATTTCAGTCCAAATCTGGACTTAGTAGGGCAGAAAAACTTACAACTAACCTTGAACTTCCTGAAAAGGTATTTTAATAATTTGGCTGTTGGGTGCAGGCATTCTGGCAGGGGTCTGGTCTTTGGTTTGGAGACCTGTCCACAGTGGTGCTCTGGGAATGCCTGTCACTGCCAGCTAATGACAGGATGGGGGAGAACACTGAACGTGGTACGTTTGATAAGACTTCGTGTGATCTAGGGCACTGTGGAACTTGGTGGTGTTGGTTTCGGTGATTTTGGGTGCTCAAGAGCAGATGTGCAGATGTAGGTGACAGACAAGGGTTTTTGAAATTCTCATCATTTCATATTCTTTAGCATCAAATTTTAGGTGTGAGTGGCATTTTAGATGTGTCTCTTGTGGGTTTAGCTTTAAAGATCATATTAATGATCTTGACTTCATTGCAAGCAGCATGGGTATAACTGGAAAGGTGGCAAAGGAACTGTGCAAAATAATTGCAGACAGAATGTTTAGGTACATCCTTCATTCGGAGAGCTGAGCTCTCGAATACCTGAGGTGAAAAAAATAATATTTTTTATTTTTCCTAACTTCACTATTTTTAACAATGGCATGAGTATGAAAAATACCTTGGTTTTGCTCTTTCTTCTTGTCATCTTTGCTATTTGTTCACACCACTCTGACCTTTGGGATATTAGTGAAGTGAATACTTAGGGAGTTTAAAAAGGATAGGATATATTTTAAGTATTTTTGAGCACTAAATTATTTTCTTAAACAATGTATTTGTTTATGTGCCCTGTGGGTTGAAATTGTAGATCTTTCAGTCTTTGAGGCATTAAGGAAACTCGGAGTAATTTAGGCATTCCCAAAATATCTATGGTTAGGGAATTATGCATGATGAAGCAACTCCTAAACTAAATTGCTGGCTTACAGGTTAACTTGGGAACTGGACAGGCACAGAGATGTGGATTAAGGAGACTTTTTCTCCATAGTCGGGAGTGTGAATAATTTGTGTGTGTTTAATGTAGCCCAGTCTCTGAATTAACCTCTCAGTTATGAAGTAGATGAGACGCCATGGTGTGGAGTATGAGAGTGGGTAGACAATTCCATGCTGGGCAGTGTCTTCAGGGTCTTGTTAGTACTATTCTGGTTTTGCCCGTGGAGATTCTGGGCGGGAATAGGCTTACTTTTGGACATACTGTGCACAGACTGACATAATCAGTGACTTTTTTGTCATTGTGTGAAATAATGAATACAGTCTTTTCCTTGCTGTGTACAGTGAAGTGTGAGAAAGGAAGAGCTCTGCTTGCATTCAGGAGAAAATACGTGTGCTTTAATGAGACCGGGCTGAATGCTTCTCCTTCACCAAGGGTGGTTTAAACTGTATCATGAGGAAAGTGTGCGGCAGTCACAAGCGTGGGATAGATCCCTGCATCTTCTTTGAACTGTTCAGAGACATGGGTGTCGTTTCCTCCTTAGGGTGACTTCTTTCAGGTGCAGAGCATTTCTGAATTGCTTGTCCTTTGTCCTCCAAAGAATAAATAAATAATATAGGTGTTATATTCTGTTACTTTATGCATCTCTGACACTTCTTGTTGGAGTATTTCTGTACCTTTTAGAGGCACAATGCACAAGCTCTTACTCCTCACCTCTGGCGTAAGCATCCCAACACTATCTTCTAGATGAAGAGTATTCAGAGAGAAAGTGTGCTCCATCAAAAATGATGTGGGATATCTGTAGCAGATCTGAAAGTAAAATGATGACCATCTGACATTTTCCTATTTTAGAACCATAAGAATATTATCTGTCCTTCAAAACACCCCTACTTCCCAAACATTTCTTCTCTCCTCCAGAGCATGAGGAGAATGGCCATGTCTGTTTTTTGAATGTTATCAGACCATAATTGATTCTCAGGATGGGGAATCAGTTCAGAACGAACAAGATCTCCTTTTCCTAACATAATATTTAGACCATACACCACAGCTCTGGTGCAGTTCAATAAAGAGCAGGTAATTCTTTCTGTGATGTCAGTTCCATGTATTCACATAGTGTTCAGATTGATGCCCCTGAGCAGTGCATGGGCAAGGTAGGCAAACTGTCAGGCCTGTATTCCCCCCATAAATCCCTGACTAGAATTCTATGCATAATTGATAGTCTTGTTTGGATGTGCCTTTTCAATGGCAGCATAGGGAAAGAAACAATTATCTCTTTCTTTGTAAGCTGGGAGAATGACTGGAATTTTTGTGGTTGCTTTACCTTGAAAGACATTTATCAGCTCCTTCTCTGGTGTCGCCGCACCTGTCAGTTGTACCCAGCTTATGTGCTCAAGAGGTCATAAAGCAGTTAAATGCCTCAGTTTAAAAAGGAGCGACAGTTGGTTCAAAATAAGAGGGCATGTGGAATGGGAATGAAAAGGCTAAAACAAAAATAGCAGGAGCTATAGGCTTATCAAGTATTTTGAGACTTTCTGTCACTTCTCTGTCTGTCTCGTTGTCAATACTTGCAGATTCCGGTTTAGTTGCTTTCTTAAAGTCACGACGTAGTGGCAGTGAAGGCCAGAAAAAGGAATTAAAAATGGAACAGAACAAAACGGAGGAGTTTGTGGAATCTCTGCCTATGGCTCAGCATGGTGTAGGATCATCTCTTTTCATGCAGGAGTCAGGTCTGGAAGAATCTGTAAGGAAGGAAGAAAACACGAAGCTAGAAATCGCAGGTAAGAACCAAAGTGTGTGTTGTTAATGTTGTGAACATAAATGTAAGGTTTGTATGGTGTTTGCGTCGATCCAAATGGGATTGATGTGACACTTTGTTAATTATCCAACTCAGAATTTTATCATGATTTTTAAAAAATACATATATTTTGGGTTCAAGAAAGAACATCTCTGTTATTTGTAGTTGGGCTCCGTAGATTAGAGGGGTGATACTCTATGTAACGGAGGTGAGCTCTTCAGTGAGAGGTCTTGCTTTCTTTTTGGAATTTGCTCTGAGATCTCTAAAGGGAAAATGTGTTAAAATAGAAAAACTAGGCAGCATTGCTTTTCTGTTCAGTTGCGTGAACAGGGAAACAGAAGAGTGTGGTAGTGAGATTCAGCTGCTGCTTGAATAATTTCTTTTAACTGGGACTGGTTGGGGACAAGAGGGTGTTGGGTAGGTAAGAGTTAGTGATTTGCTCACAGGATAGCATGGAGATGACAATCAATCTCACTTCAGGGAAATTGCTCCTATAGTGCATGTATGTCTCGTGACACTGCTCCTGATAGCCCCACTCTCTGCTTTGTATCTCAGAGCCCACGTGGTGATTTCCACAGAATACAGTTCTGTTCTTTGTGCTGTGGATGGATGAAAGTATTAAGGTGTAGAGTGTTGTTCTGATTTTTTGGAAGAATTGTACAGAGCTCTTATGACAGAACTCTTTAATACTCAATATATGCCTGTATGAGGAGAAAGCTGCTTTATCCCCAGCAGCTAGAGCAACCTATATATTCTCATGGCAGAGAAAATAAGTGTTTTCCTCTTAAGCTTCTGCTGCTCTTATTGTTGCTTTTCTCACTGCAGTTTTTTCTTCAGCCTTTTCTCTCTGTTGGGATTTTAGGCTCCCATTGTCATCTTCCCCACATTTTTGTTCATAGCATGTTTCTCCCTTGTTAGCATGCTTCTCCCCCAATTTCATGTCAATTTTTGGCTTTCTCCATCTTTTGATCCTCTCTTCTGATGCATTCTTTGTGTCTCAGTGCAACGCGCAGACTGATTAAAGAGGTCTCTGAGTCACTCCTGGATTTCAGCTTGGTGTTTGTAAGAGATAACAACCGTTTACAATTTTCTTGATGAGAGGGATGAGTCTGTGAGTATATGTGTGTGTACACGTGCAGGAGAAGGAAAGCTGATTATCCTGTTATTGAGGAAAACACTTCACCGAACAGTCCTTTTGCTGTTTCTCCCCAAGTTTTACTTTTTCATGAATCCTTCTTAATCAAAAGGACTATTTTTAGTTCTTTTTAGTTCCAGAACAATCGAGTGCACAAATAGCACCAGGTTAAGTGACATTCTTTTACCAGCCTGGCAGCAATAGAAGTGGGTTGTTCAGCCTGTAAAGGCTGAACAAGATTGTAGTAGTGCTTTTGGGAGTAGCTCAGTGTTCAGAGCGTCGTATGCTGACAACTTTTGCTTCCCATGGAAGACTGCACAGGAAAGGAGAAGAGTTTTCCCAGGATATTTGAAATAACAAAGAAAGGATGAGCTGAAACATAGTTATAAAACCAAGGGAAGCCTTTCCATCACCTGAGTCTATGCCTGCAGCCCATCTTGGCCAACAGGAGATGTAAAATATTAATTTGACATTAGCACTTAGTGTTGGGATTTTGCATCTGTTTGTGCTCAAAAGTAAACTCCTCATGAATAACCTAGCAGAAGTGGTTATTCTGAATTTACCTAGGGAGAGGATGATGACACAGAGCAGTGAGATTGCTCAAAAGTCAAACCTGTCTCTCTAATGAGATAAAAGGCTACTGTTTCTAATAAACAAGATGGAGAAGCCTTTATCCAGCAACTTGTAATCTTATCAAATGGAAAAGTAAATTCTGGCACCAAGACAAAAGGGTAAGCAAAGCAGAAAATAGGTTGCATGGTGGCCTTTAATATAATCCAAGTCTGAAAAAGTTTAGTGCAAATGTTGCGTTCACATTGTCAGCTTGTGTTTCTGTAAAGGGATTTCTCAGTAACTGAACAATCTGCTGATGCCTTGGAATATATATGCATCTTTTCTTGTTGACAAGATCATAATACTAAGGGCTGGTGGTAATCTGCGTAATCCTATTCATAGAATGACTGTCTCAACCCTATCAATGTAGCGATTAATGGAGAAAGCAATTTGTTGAGTTACAAATGTCAATAAATTTCATTTTTCTTCTGATTTTATTTCCTCTGGTTTTGCACCTACCACCCACAAACATTCCACTTTCTTACATTTCAGATGCTTTTCCCTTCTCTTCAGTTAAAATGTGTGCTGAGCCTTTGGCTGAAATTCTGTGGAACAGCTTTCTGGCTGAGGAAGATAACTCTGTGCTTGGTTCCTTGCCTGGCTCAATACCACAGAGATCATAAGGGTGAAGCTTCATCCTAGAAAGGATGAGTGCCCTTCCTGAAAGTTTATCTGCTAATTGGAGGAAAGTAAAAGGTTAGGTTTCAGGCCAGTTATCAGGAGGAAAAGATCTGATGAAAGAAGAGCATCTCAGTGGGACTCATTGTTCCTTGCAAGAGAAGACCAGAGCACTATATTAATAGCTGCAGTGCAAATGAGTTCTGGGCTGCTCCAGCAGGAGTGATGCTGCTGCTTTTCATGCCCTCAGGCTGTCTCTTCCTGTCCTTATGTCTGATTTTTCTTGAGATAGCAAAGATTTCTTAGCTCATCTGGTCTCGTGCTGGTATGGGATAGTATCCTAGTAGCAAAGCATTATCTGTCCTAGTGTTCAGATCATGTCCAGTTACATTTCTCCCATCCCTTCACTTGTGAAGTTCTTCCATGTGCTGACCTGCCTTCTTCCTAGGGCAACTCTTGTGATGTCAGGCACAAACGTCTTGTTTATCAAATTCTTCTAGTCAAAGCACTTTATAAAGTTAAATCAGTAATTTCTTCCTTTAGTTCTTGCACCTTTGAAATTCTTATTCAACTGTTTGGTTTCCCCACTGAGCTGTTCCTCAGGCAAGCTGTGTAAATTTTCAGCTGTTTTGATCTTTTCTTTCCAAGCTGATCTCCTCAAGCCTTTAGAGGGGGACACAGAATGAAGAGCAGTGTTGCAAATGCGACAAAAGCACGAATAGTAGTGCTTGTGCTCTGTCCAGTGTATCTAAGCTGAAATCATACTGGCTTCCAATAATTTGCTTGTATCTCTCTGCATCAATACTTCTGAATCATTTCACATCTCTAACACCTCCCCATCCTTGGATGATATTAGTTTGCTTTCTCAAAAGTAGGGCTGATGCTAATTTTCTGCCCTGGTTCTGATCACTTTGCCTTATTTGCCGCCTGGTACTTAAAGGGCTACGTGAAAGATGGGGAGGAGGGACTCTTTGTTGGGGTGTGTAGGGATAGGACAAGGGGTAACCATTTTAAACTGAAGGAGGGCAGATTTAGATTAGATATAAGGAAGAAATTCTTCCCTGCGAGGGTGGTGAGGCGCTGGCCCAGGGTGCCCAGAGCAGCTGTGGCTGCCCCCTCCCTGGGAGGGTTCAAGGCCAGGTTGGACGGGGCTGGGAGCCCCCTGGGCTGGGGGAAGGGGGCCCTGCCCGGGGCACGGGGGTTGGGACTAGGTGATCTCTAAGGTCCTTTCCAACCCAAACCGTTCTATGATTCTGTGATTATTTGTGCCCTGACTTCTGTTCAACTTCTCCCAAATTAGCCTTGTCTGTGAATTTCATTAGAGTGCTGTTTACTTCCTCTTCTAGCTCTCATGAAAGATGAAAATAGCTTTAAACCTTTGATGTTTATGCATCAGCCAACAGTCAGTTTGAAAATTGTTTTCTTCTTACTTTACATGAATCTTATATTTGATGCAGTCTTTAAGCCAAGTAGGTTGGCAAAGAGAGAATAGTATTTTCTTCATCTCTGCCTTGGAAGGTAAGACTGCTATTTTTCTGCTCCCCCCCCCCCCCAAAGGTGATGATCTGCCTGTGAAGCCTAAGAAGGAATGGATTCACATGGACAATGTGGAGTTTGAGAAGCTGGAATGGATGAAGGATTTGCCTTCACTCCGACAGAAGAAAACCAGAAAGGTTTGAAAGCAGAAACTGATATTTTTCATGTTTGCGTCTGGATCATGCTTCTCAACAGTAACAGTTTAGAAGGCTTCAAAGGCTAGTCCTCTGGGTACTCAATTTGTAAGACTTCTTCGGGCTGAGAGATTCTCCAGTTTCTTCCACAGGGTGGGATGATTCGTCGTCAAGTCAGTCTGTAGTGCTCAAGAACTCTAGGAAGTGAGAGTCTATCAGCTGTAATCTGGGATGAAGCAGGTCTGAAAGCTAAGAAAAAAGGGAAGAGAGGAGTATATTTTTTTTTTTTAAGAATTTGAGGCTTGACCTGTGGGATTTTTCACCTTCCAGCAGTTGATGTAAGAAATGGTATTTTAAGTGATGAATGGATTTGAAGACAATAGAAATAATCTTTTTCTCCCTCCACACTTTTGTTGTAGGGAATGCAAGCTCGTTTCAGTTTAAAAGGAGAATTGATTCCTGCAGATGCTGATTTACCGACACATCTAGGTCTGCATCACCATGGAGAAGAGGCAGAGGTAGGTATGGTATAGCACACCCATTTCCGTGTTTGGTGTTTGATTTGGCAGACTCATTTTGTGTCAAGGTTTTTTTTAGTGACAAAAACCTTAGGAAAGTGTGGATGGGTGATTTTCTTTTGAAACAAGCTCTTGAAGAGAAATTGGGTCAGCATGCATTAGCTGCTTTACTTTCAGTAAGCTCCATTAATGCTTTTTCTCTTTAATGCCATTGAGGATCTGTGGTGTTGGAAAAATGTGCACATAAATCCTTTTCTTAAGAAGTTCAGTTTTATCCTGTTGCATCAATGACTAGAATCTCCTTTGCAATTGCCACAAAGCAGCAAACAACATTGCAGTGCAGTTAATCTCCTGTTATGTAGCATTTTACAGTTAATCTTATTGTAAGGGGCCTGTTCTTACCTATAGCTTAGTGGTTTTGTGGTTTTGTTGTTTGGTTTATTTTTTTTTTCCTCCCCCCCATTCAGAGGGCTGGTTATTCCCTCCAAGAGCTCTTTCATTTGTCTCGCAGCCAAGTTATTCAACAGAGGACACTGGCTCTACAGGTCTTGGGTCGTATTGTTCAAAAGGTAAGTCACTTTCCATGGAGTTCTTACACTAGAAACTTGAATTATGGGGATCGGGGTCCAGATTTTGTGGTATTAGTTGTTTGCTTTCTACTATTCAATGAAGGTGAGCAAAATTGCTGGCAGGGCATTCTTTTTCACTGAGGATCTCCTTACTGTTAGAAAAGGTAGATGTTGGGACCTAACTGAGTTTCAGGTTTCTCTGGAGGGAGATGCTTCCAAACGTTGTTCAGCAGCAGTGCTGCAACTTCAGTTCTGTTTTTGCTTTGGGCACAAGTTATTTTTTTGGTGTTACTTTTGTGACAAACCTATCCTTGGCAATGACCCTTCCACTCCTGTTTGAGCCAGCTTCATGATGTGCTTTTTTGTAGGAGGTGAGAATGAACCAACCTACTCATAGAGCGATGTGCCAATAGCATAAAGCAAATTGAGTATTTACTTCTGTGCACATTTCCACCTGACTCTTGAGGGAAGTGCTAACCTTTCCTCCAATAGCAGTGGAGGCAGAGAAGAAGAAACTTTGATCTTGAGAACAATGGGGAAGACCAGGGTGAAGTAAGAAGATGGCCTCAGGCATTAGAAAGAAAGGTGTCCTGCATTAAAGAACTAGAGTTGTGTGCCTCTCTAGAATGAAAGGAGAAGAAAATAAAGGAAAAAAACCTTGCACACGGTTTAGCTGCTTGACAGTAGATATGGGAGGAGGTAAACACACCGAATGTTGAGATGTATCCAGTTGAAATGAGACAACTTTAACACTGGCGCTGTGTGGCTTATATTTCAGGCCAGGGCTGGAGAGTTTGCTTCCTCCTTGAAGGGCAGCATTCTGCGTCTGCTGCTTGATGCTGGGTTTCTCTTCTTGCTGCGCTTCTCACTGGATGATGCAGTGGATAATGTCATGGCAGCATCTGTTGGTGCTCTCCGGGCTCTGCTGGTGTCACTCGATGATGAGGTGAGACCAGTTATTAAGTGCCTGGGTTTGAATTCATGCTGAGCTGTTTACAGGCATTGGAATGAGAAGACGTGGTAAGTAGCTTGAACAAAGGCTTGCTTGATGGGTTAGCTTAATGGTCAATAGAATGCCATTGCTGTGCTTTGGGACAGACAAGGGAGTGTGTTATCCCAGTTTGGTAGATTCAGACGTCTTTTCTCCTCTCTGAATTAGCTCTGGCCCATGATTAAATTCAGTGCAGGCTGTTGCGGTTCTTTTTGTTTTGACATCTTTACAATCTACATCAGGCCACTACTAATGTGTGTCTATAATTTATTTTTTTTAATATGGCCTCTTACGTTGTTGCCTTCTCATTTTATAGCTTTCCTCCTTCTGAACAGATTGAATATTCACTTTCCTTTCTTTTATGCCTCATGATGATGCGATTTTCCTTCTCTCATTGTCCATTTTCTCCTGTTCCCATGTGCATTTCTTACACTGATAAATACCTAATTTCACATTCTCATGTGTCTATCTTCTCCTTCATGCTTTTTCTCCTGTTAGAAGGTTGAAATTTCTGTTCAGAGATACTGGAGAGCCCTGAGCAGCAAGATTAAGATGTCTTCCTGGTTGGACATAGGCAGTCCATTATAGGCAAAGCATGCTGTGGGCTGTCTTTCAAGTTGCTTCCGTGAGAGCTGCTCCCGTGGCAGACTGCAAAGGGGCTGGTGATAGAGAAGAGTGGGTAGATCTCAAGAAACCCCCTGCAACTTCTCTCAGGCCTCTAGAGCTATCTCTAGTGGGGAGGCAATAGACATGAAGGACTAGCTTATCTCTCTCCACATCCTGCTCCTTTTCTAAGCTATGAGTTTAATGGTGTTCTGCTAGATGAGTCCTGCCCACCCATGGTAGGTAATTAATACTATGAATCAGCTTCTTAATGTGCTTTCCTTTTTTTTCTGATATTACTCTGGTTTATAACCATATGCAGTGCTCTGATTCTCAGATTAAAGCCTGTGGTGTGATGTCTTGTATAAGTGAGGATTGCTGACTCTCTCAGTGCCAAAAGGAGCACTGTGAGTGCTCTGTCAGTATATTTTTCTCATTTGGAGAGTCCTAGAGTCCTGTGCTGCTGAGTTTCAAAAGGTCTGTGAGGAAGGGACAGGGCTGGGAGTCTAGCCTTTTGCTTCAGGATTTGTAAGACAAACAGGATTTATCCCCACTATAAATGCAGAAGATCAACACACATAAAAATTGCTCTGTCTAAAGAATTCTGTTCATTCATCAATGGCTGTGGGAAGGAACCACCTTTCTCTCTGTTTCCTTTGATGACCAAAGTACTGTGGCTTGTGCTTTTTGTTCTTTTGGTGGAAGGAAAGCTACAGTCCCAAACTGTATTCCATATGGACTCAGCTTCATCTCCTAAAGTCAGGCCTCTTCTGACCATGTCATTCACTTGCCAACTTTTTTTAATATCGCCACCTTTTTTTTTTCATGTCTCTTAATAACTTGTCCTTCCTTGGCATTTGCATTTGAAATTTTTCAAAACAGCTCAGGCTTTAGTTGAAGTCTAACACTTCCTTTCTGACTAATGTGGTAGTTATTTCTGATTGGCAGCTCAGGAAATGGAAATTTAAAGCAGTTATTAAGGAGTGCAAGCGTTCAATTTGACTGTCTTTTCTATTCCAAAATATTTTTGGGGAAACAGGTCTGCTATGGGAGCAATCCCCTCTCTGAAGAGTTGAAATCTCACTTATTGCAGCATTGCCCTAGAACTTGAGAGAATCTGATACTGTCTTTAACTGTGAACCAAAAAGGGGATTTTTACTTGTTGAAGCTGAGGGTGTTCAAACAAAAATGAGCAAATACATCAGGCAGTCTTTATCTTAACATATGAATTTTTACATGACTATTCCGTATTATGTAACCTAAGTTCCACACAGGTCCAGAAATGGAAATAGAGCCAATAAATACCAAATTCCAGTTTAACTTGTTGAGCCTTGCTGGTCTGATTATCGTTTTTTATCTTAAATGTTTTTCAGTTAAGCTGCATTTCTGTTACCTGTGTAGAGAATTTAATTCACCTCACAGTAATTGCTTTTCATGGTTTCCCGAGTGTGTGTGGGTTATGGGTTAAAATCACTTCCCCGAAGAAACATTGCATTCTGCTTGTACATGTTTAGAATACCCTTTATTGTGTTCCTGTTTTCCTGGGGTTAGGTGGGAATCAGTAAAGCATTTTGTAATCAAAAGCATCCTGGAAAATTTTCTGTCTTCCATGATTTTTTTTGTGAGAATTTAATTGCATGTGCTTTTACTCTCCTTACAGAAATATCTCGATTGGACTTTCTCATGGTACCAGGGGATGGCTGCATTCCCCTTTGTCCCCAACAATGAGGAGGAAGAAGAGGAGGAAGAAGAAGAATTAAATGGAACAGAGAAGTCTCAAGATAAAAAATTAAAGGATGAAAACAAGCCAGATCCAGATGTGGCCCGATACGATGTTGTGAAGGTAAGCACAGAGCTAGACCTGAAATCTTTTTAGGAAAATAGGCTCCACACAGTGGCTGTATGTGCTGTTGAAAAGCCTGCCCTGCTGTGTATGCTATTAAAACATTCTGGACAAGAATTGGAGCTCTTCCCTGGCTGTTGGATGTTACTGTTCTCTCATATTTTATCGTGAGGGTGATTTTATTCATCTCTAAAAATGTTGAGACTTGACCTGTGTGAATTCAGTATCATTAAGTATCTCTAACTTCCTCTAGAGAAATTGTCAACAAGCACGCTGATGACCTTGTAAGACTTGCTGAAAGACTACATACAGGCATAATTTTCAAGCTCATTTACTTGAGCTAAAAGTGAAAAGGTTCCATCCATTATTAAAGTGTTTGTATGCACTTTACAGAAGTTAAACATGAGCATTACAGCTAGATAGTTCAGAACTAGTTAGATTTGTACAATGACATTCTTTTTGTATTTGACAGAAGGTGGCTACTTAGCATTTCCCTGATTTCATTCTTCATATTTGCATTTCTCAGTTGCAGAGTTACAGCATTTGTAAGGAATTCCTCACATATTTAAGCCGAATACCACATTCCTGATATGAGATCTGAAAATATCAATTTTTGTTCTCTCAAACTCAGCCTTGGTGGAGCTGATGGAACTCTCCTGCCTGCTGCAATTGTTAAAACCTGTGATCCCATCACTTAGTCCATGTGTTTGAGCCTCCGTTCCAATGGCACTTTGTTGAAAGCTTCACTGGGCAAATGAATTGCTGTACTTTGGCATCTTGTTTTGTTTAGAGGCTTCGTGATCTCAGATGTAGGTGACACTGTTCAAAAAGCTTAACAGAAGAGGTGTAGATAGAAGACATGAGATCAGTTTTTGATTCTGGAAACAGTTGTGTGGTTCAGCATAATGGGTTTTAACTTGTTCCAAGTGGCCTGAACTCAGAAGATATTTGGGATAAAATTCTCCTACTGTTCCAGTTGTGAAATTCCATTTCACACCTGGTTATTAGCTGTTAGAACACAAATACTCCACACAGTTGGAAAAGGAGTATTTAAACTAGCACCTGAATTCAGTCAGGCCTAGAACTACAACCTTGCTTGGCTGCAACTTTTAAAGAGTATCAGTACTACTAATTCAGGTGTTACGGAGTTGCCTTTTCCCAGAATTAGGACTGCATAATGCTGTCACTTAAACTGAAGATTTGTGTCCTTGCACCGCCACCAGTCATGGTCTTCTACTCTGAACCGTGAAGTAAAAATCTCATCATCTCTCTGCATGTCTCTTTTCCTACTGCAAAATAGAATTTCATAATGTTCTCTACTTCTGTCAGCTTTCTGTGACACGACAGGTGCTATCAGACAGAGTGCTGCATTAGCTGGAGGTGGTGTCTAGCCAAAATGATTCAAAGAGCATGAGCACCCTTTTCAGCCACATGAAGTTTTAGCAGTCCTGTGTAGGGAAGGTTATTTTCCTATCCCCTGTTACTTACAGTTTCATACTCTGGAAGACACAAGTATCCAAACCCCACCAGTGGTCTGATTCTGAACAGAAGTTCAGTTATTCCTACTCTCTCAAGCTAACTCTTGCTCATTTGCTAGCATACTGGCAAATCTGCGGAAACTTATTTCTTTGCTTCCCCACCGGTACTTTTAAAACTGTCTCTCTACAGAAGATGTAATTGAATCTGCTTTGGTCTTCCAGCAACTGCAGTTCAGAGAGCAATTGTTAAGAGCATAATGGAATTTTTTTTTTTTTTTTTTTCCTTTCAGGGACTTTTGAAGACACGGATCCAGCACCGGCTGAGGTACATCCTGGAGGTGGTACGACCTGTTCCAACAGTAGTGCTGGATATACTCCACATTCTTACTCACATAGCAAGGCACTCCTCTGAAGCATGCATCCAGGTAAATCTCCCACTGCACAGGAGCTTGGGAATGGTAGAGAAATGTTTGAAAAGGGAAGAAAGAAGCAGGTAAAGTTATGGCAAGGGGTCAGACAAGCTTCTGTGTTTTGCATGTCTTCTGCATGTCTGCATAATTGCATACCTTCAGTTATTTGTGCTGCCTGCTGTTTCTCTGCAGCTGCTTGACTGTCCTCGGTTGATTGAGACCATTGTCAGGGAGTTTCTCCCTACTCAGTGGGATCCCCAGGTGGCTGAACCAGGTTGTTTACTCACCAGCCTCCATGGAGTTGCTTGCGCCACTGCTATGAAGTTCATCAGAGTGTTGGCATCTGGAGGCCGAAATGCAACAGCCAGGCTGGTGAGTGATTCTCAGAAAAACTTTTCTGATGGCTGGGGCCTTTGTTCTCTATGCCTTAATTTCAGAGTAAAGATAGAAGATTAATTGGAGGTGACTCTGAGCTGAAGCTGAAATAATTGTTGTGAAGAAGGTGCATGTATGAGTTTTGCAGGAATTGTTGACAGCATCATAATAATGATGCCTTCTGCTGTATACCAGCAGAAGAGCTGTCTCAAGCTTTTCTATGCCATTTTTTTTTGTTTTACGTAGCGCAGTTATGCAAAATGACATAGCACAGCTCAGTGATACTAACCAGTAACAAATATTTAGAGCACACATTGGCGTGTGATGCTCTGTACTCTCCCATGTTCCAGTGATAGGCAGCTTAGGACTGTATAAACCAGAGATTTAATTGCTATCCTTGTGTTTTGCAACCCTTGTTGAACTTCCCTGCCGTTAATTTGTCTTAATAACTCTGAGGTCATTTGTCAGTATTTCTAACTCGTTTTATCTACTTCTGGAAAGGTTTTTCACTTCAGAGGTAATTGCATTCACTCATATAGGTCATCACACTGGTGCTATAAATGCATAACGTAGCACCCATCATAGCGCAATGAGCACCTCTAGGGTTTTTGGTTCAGTATCGTTAAAGGCATCTAATAAATTGCCATCCAGGAAATTGCTAACACCAGTCTGTGCTATAAAACACATAGAATAATGTGCTGATAACGGATGCTGGGATATGTAAAGGCTGTAAGTGGTGCTAGGAACATAATAGAAAATCTTTGAATTTTACTCTATTTCAGGCTTTGTATACTCCAGGTGTTTCAAGGTATGCAAAAATTGCTCACAAGGTTCTTGCCACTTGGGCTTTGCTTCTGTTGCACTCTGATGTGGCTTGTTACAGGCACTTAGACACAGGAATGGAAGATGATAAAAAACAAAACCAGTCATCTATGTAGGAATTATTTTAGCTAACAACAACAAAATTCTTCCTCTGGAAGTAAATTTGACTTTGCCCTCTGTTTTGTAGGAGGGGTGTCAGAATTCATAGTTTGATTCATCAGCTCCTTTGCTTTCTTGCTGGTGTACACTGATTTCCCTACAAGATGTCTCTAAAGTATTTGAATTTTAAATTATCTATAATATGTCCTTGTGTTGTGAAAAAAGACATTGTTATCTCATTTGTTTAGACAGAGCACATGCAAGCTTTTGTATGTGTGGGAGAGGGAGAGGGAAGCTCTTTTTTATGGTTAAGCAAAAATACCCAGTTGTTGAGGAGGATAAAAATTATTTCTAGAGAACTGCAAATGAGTCATGTCATGCTTAATTCAATACTAAAATAACCTCAGAACATTTCCAAGGCATCAAAATTCTATAATCTTATAAAAGTCATAGGCAGGAGGTACCCTTTTTATAAAACAAACGCAGAAGCATGGAAAGATTTAGGTTGTAGGACCTCTGAAAGTCATTTAGCGGAACCTCCCCGGAAGAATATCAGCATCAATTCAGTACTTTTATATACAGTGTTTGTCTTAAGATATATCTTTACATGTAACCTTGACTAATAGAGTTCTGTTTATGACTACTTAAAGAAGGATGATTATATTTTAAAAAAATCAGTTAAATACTGCAGACCGCATCCAAACCAAGAGTGTATGTGGGCTAGAAAAACCTCCATCAGGAGTGATTTAGGTGTAGTTGATTTTAGTTAGGAATGGATTAGGAAACACCTAGGCTTCCCTTCCTGGAATACTTCTTTCTTAATAGCCATTGACCATTTATTGATAGTTTGTAGTATGCTCCTTAAGATTACACAACATAAAACCAGATCTGAACAGTGCAAGAGGAGTTTAGAATGGGCTGAACTGAAATCTGCAGCTCTTTTGGTGTGTCAGAGTAATGAGGTAATGATGCATGCAACTGATGTCTCTTATGCCTTTGTCTTTTTTTATTGCTCGTTCTTTGTTTTATTGTTCTTTATTTGTTTTACAGCTTAACAACTTTGAAATGAAAAGTCGGTTAAGTAGATTTATAGCTGAAGACCCGCTGGATCTGCTCCTGCCAAGGGAAGAAGCCATCAGGCTAAGCACCGAAGCTTTCCGGCTGTGGGCTGTGGCTGCTGGCTATGGTCAGGCCTGTGATCTCTACAGGTACAGCCCAAAGCTGGAGAAATGGAGGTGGAGGGCACAATAGAGAAAATGGACATCCTGTTGCAGGGGGCAAATACAGGGATCTCCAGGCTCAGTCTCTACTCCCTTCAGGGAGTCTTACCTCCCTTTCTCTGGCCTCCTGCTGTAAAACCCACAGTTTCTGGCTGAGAATTTGACAACTATGGAAGCAAGAATAAAATAAAAGTAATTTTTCCAAGAGATTATCAGAGTTCTTGAAGGGAGAGCATTAGGTAGGTTCAGATTAATTTGGAACAGTAGTATTCTTCCTTTGTCACCTTCTTTTCATGTCTGTCTATTTTTGTTATTTTCATGGTGGTGATGGTTCTCATAATCTCATTCTAGCAATATGTATAAATATGTAGTGGGGAGGCATAAAGAAGATAGCACCAGGTTCTTCCAGTGGTATGAAGTGAAAGTACAAGAAGTGGACACAAAGTGGAAAGAGAGGAAATTTCCCTTAAGTGTAAGAAAAATTATTTTACTGTGAAGGTAATCAAAAACTGGAGCAGATTGTGCAGGAAGATTGTCGACTCTCCATCCCTGAAAATACTCAAAAATCCAACTGGACATCTCCAGACACCGTTTCCAACCTCATCTGTTCTGTTATTCTTACTATAGGGATCTCTACCCTGTGCTGGTGAGGATACTACAGTCCCTGCCCGAGTTGCTCAGCACTTGCCATGGGAAGAGCCCCATGACTGAGTTGTCTGTCCAGCGAGCTACAGCAGTAGTCACTCTGCTGATACGTGTGACGCAAACAGCAGGCTACGCGGCAGAGCTGCAGGCCAAGCTGAGCAGGTAGTCCTTCTCTGTCACCAGTTCTGTGTATCTGAGTAGTCCTCCCTCTCTTTGGTTTGGAGACCTGGCTATCACCTTGCTCTTCATTTTGGATGGTTTACTATCCCACATGTGAATCCCTGCACAGTGATAGGTATTCCCTCCAACACAAGATCAGAAGTGGTATCTAGTCTGACAGCTACACCTGCTAGCCTGGTAAGAGGCAAGAGTAAAAAACTGCATTCAGCATGGGGCAGAAGGGCAATGTTGGCCAAGTGCTCTGCTGAAAGGAGCTAGGAAACTTCTTTGACCTTCCCTTTGGGGAAAACAAAATAACCTCCCTGAGATTTGGAGGAAAGACCTTCTCTGCAGAGACCAAGATGGGTTGAGATTAAGAGGCGGCTGATTTTGATATACATCAAAGCAGCTGGATTTGCTAAAGATACAGGTACTTTTTCTGGTGAAAAGCAAGAAGTGTTAACTAAAGCTGGATACTGAGGTAGCATGTCTGGTAAAATTTGAGCATAGCTCAAGAACAGAGTAGTGCAGGTGAAGAAACATCAGCTTTCATGAGTAGATTCTGGATTTGTCCTTTCTGCCTAAATTGATTTGGTCTGGTCTGTGGGAATGTGCAAAGATGTTTTTTTCCCCTACTGCCTGTTGTCGGGTATTGCTTCCAGACTACATGTAATTGGAAATCATGCTATTAAAAATTATGATTTAGAGAGGCAATTGTTTCTGAGACATATTTGCTATCCTGTGTCATTCTTCCATTGTGTTGCAGTAATATCTCAGAAGATAGTGAGCAGATTCCACCTCCTCCAGTAGTGTGGAGTCAAGTGTCAGGTTTACAGCCCTTCCTTGAGACCAGTCTGAAAAAATTTCTCCAGGAGATATCCCAGACAGAAACTTGGCAAACTCTCCAGCCTCTGACCACAACTTACGTGATCTACTTGGGAGTTTATTACAGTGCTTGCAGCCAACAGGTAAGGCCTGAAAATTCAGGTTGTCTTTTCATCTCACCAGCATCAGTTTGTGTGTTACCTCTGAAAACCTGAACTTGCAGGCAATGCTAAAAAAGACAGATGTTGAGGCATCTAGCTGAGGACTAGATTTTGCTTACCACAGCTCATATCTAGGCTGCATGGCATTTATGGTCAAATAAGCCTGCTTGATCCTTCACATCAGAAGTGCCAAATATCGCCATCTTCCTTTCTTGTTCGTTCTTCCTTTGGGCTCAGAGTCTCATTCAAGGCACGTGGTAGTACTGTGACTGTTCTGATTTACTGCAGAGATCCAAAGCATGAAGCAAATATGACCTAATTTAGTCTGGCAGTCCTTTCTGCTTGTGGGCTAAATAGAGTTGCACATTTTCGCATTTGCTGTAATCTGAGAGTTTACATGTGGACAGCCACACTACAATAATCTGTTTGGAAGACCAAGTATTGAGCGTCATGCCGTATGAACTTTGGATAGGAAACAATAAATTTATTTGCTGCCCCACTGACATTCAAGGTCAAATTCTGTAATCCAGTTACAGTTGTAGTATCGGACCATCTTTTAAAGAGAGTTTTCTGAAGGTGACACATCAGTGTGATGCTGTTGAAGAATAATGTCTTTAGCTACCTTAAAGATTCATGTTCTAAAGATAAATGCAATTTTCCTCTTTACTGCCCAACTGACATGCCCGAGTTCTGACCTGGGAGAGCTGTCTTCAAGGTGTAGGGGTAATTTAATAGCTGTAATTATTCACACTTCTGCAACTCCTCTGAAACTTGCCCAAAGCAACTGAATTTGTTAGTTGTGGCTGGGGTGGAAACCACCAGTATCTTTCAAATATGTCTTCAGTGCCCCAAAGACTGGTAGTACCCTGCCCATGTTGTCATTAGGTCCTGAGCATTAGAAAACCAGGATAACCAAGATATTTCTTTTTAACTTTTATAGATGTTCCAGAAGGGTGGCTAACAAAATAATTTCTTAAGACCTTGAACTATGACATAAGATTTCTTTTATTTTCACTTAAAAAGAATTTCAGTCATCTACCTGTGGTTAGCTAATCTGATTTAAAAAAAAATAAAAATAAAATGGCATGTAGCACGTTTGAATGGACTAGTGCAAAAAAAAAAAAATTAATCAGCCTCTGTAGTAACTAGATTAGTGCATACTGGGACTTTCTTGGAATGTTTTTTGTTAGACTACTAAGAACTAAGGTTAACATCTTCATGTAGATTTTACTCATTTATGGAGGGGGATTTCACCTTGGGGAAAACTAGATTTTGTTATAGAAATGAGTGTTTCTGTATCCTAAAGCAGCATTCTAATGAATGGAGAGAACGTTAAAATTCACCAGCATGTTCCTTCAACCTGGAATATTGCTTACTAGGGTCAGAAGAATTTGGATGGTTCTCTAAAAGCCACAGATCCTCCTCTGTGCAGTGTTCATCCACAGTCATGCTTTGATGGGTAGGTCAATCACACTTTATACAGTTGATTTTTTTTTTTTTTTTTAATTAATATTTTTTTTTTGGAGACCCTCACGGTGCCACCCTGCTTTCTCAAGGTACTTCTGATCACCTTTGTGTCATCTTAAAGTTAAATGGAAAGATCAGCATGTGGATGGTATGGGGAGGTGGGGGGTTTAGCCACTTAGAGCAGGTTTCATTTAGGGAATCTTGATCCCAATGATCCCATACCTTACTTCCAGCCAATTAAAAAATCTCTGTGAAGGATTTTAATACTTGAGTGCGAGAACACCTTGAGGTGCCAGCTCTCAGCTTCCACACTACCAGCAGTGAGGCCAGCTTTAACCTAGGGCAGTACCGCTATGCAGATGAAGCGATCTGGCAAAAAAATAATACAGAGAAAGCAATCCAATCAGCCTCTCTTTTTGCCCTCACTGGAATGCCTTCATTCACCGTATTTTCCTGTCTTTCTCCTTGTCTTCTGCAGCCATCAGTCAATCCAATTGACTGCTTAGAGGAACTGGAACGTTTGACATCTGAGGTGCTGCAGCCCCTTCTCAGCCAGCCAGCCATACACAGCATGTGGGACTTGCTCAGGTAAAACCATTTCACTGCTAAGATGCTGTTGCCAGAAGCTAAGGGAGCCTCAATTCTATACTGTACTGTGTGGCAGTTTTCCCCCTCTCATTTCTTTCCCCTGTACATATGTGCCCCATATGTGTGAATTAGAGAGCTGCAGGGCTCTGTCTACACCCTGCTTTGTCCTTTCCCCTTACAGCAAAAAGCATGATGGGCACAGAGGTTCTTCAGTTCTTCCGTTCTTACTGGTGATGCTGCAAGGTCAGCATCTCTGCCCTTCCATGTAGCTGTATTTGTCATATACATTTCAAATTGATTTTAGTCATTCTTGCCTTTGATTCTTTTTCGGTTTCACTGGATTAAGAAAAAAAAGAAAAAAAAAAAAAAGTACATCAGTTTGAATCCCTCTTACTTTGGGGAGATGAGTGTGTGTGTGTGTGTGTGTGTGTACATGTACCATTCATGTGCTCTGTGTGATGCTGCTTATATAAAATAATTTAAGCTAGACTTGCTTTTTTATGCTCCTGCCAGAGCTTCACGGAGGCTTTAAGAGCCCCTGCAGGAAAGTGAACGGCCAGATATCAAACTGTTCTTTCAGACATTTGGATAACAAGCTTTGTCTCTGACTCTGGGAACTGCTAAGCACTGCAGATATTCTGTCTTTCTGCTGTAGGGGGAGCCTCCCTACTAGGCTGTGATCAATCCCACATAGAGGGAGAACCTAAAAGGCCTAACTTGTAGTCAGGGAGATATCTAGCTGCTTCTGAGAACATCTGATATAAGGGGTACTTGGAATCCTTGGTTGTAAGTGGTATTTGAATCATCACCAAACAGTTTGGGCATGTTCTTTCATGACTGAGAGCTGAGATCTGAAACTCTTAGCACCAAAGCTTCCAACATAAGGGCACTCATTAGATCCTTTCCTGCCTGCCCTTGAGGTCTGAAAACAATGGGTTTGGTCAGGATGTAAAATCCCATCACCAAGATTTCTCCTAGGCTGTTCTTAACACTGTCTGCTAAAAATGAAGTGTCAGCTAATCTCTGCCTTAATGTCTTGACAATTGTCTAAATGTTCTGGGCAGATTAAGATCAGGAGTTCAAGGTACTCTGTGAGCCTCAGGTGTGTTCATGCATCTCCTCCATGGTCATGCCAGTGGAATGAGGAGCAACGCATTTAAAGAATTAGGTCTCTGTCCTAGAGCAACAATATGTGTCTTTGAGAGGATTTGCCCTATTGTCCCGTTACTGTTGAGCTATATTCCCTGGAGTGGTTTTGCCTGTGCAGACATGATACGTCTGGGGTGGGAATGGGGAGTTCTGCTTTGCCCACAGAGAGTGAGCACGCACATACCAAGTGGTATGTGCTGTCAAGTTCATGTACATTAAAGCTAGGTTCTTTCTGAATAGACTTTAAAAATATGTATTTCATAAGTATGTAAGGGGCAACACTTTTGCAATGTCGATTTTAGACAGAAGCTGGCTTTTTTGCTTTGCCTGCCAGTTTATTATTGAAATGTCTTGAGTGGGTGGGCAGCTTTATTAGTCTGGTTTACGTATGTACATGGGGAAACCTATGGGGTTTTTTAAATCAAAGGCCCAATACTTCCAAATGTGTGACATCAGAGATGTGTTACTACATCAGTATTGCTGCGTGTCATGAACAGTTTAGCTGAAGATGAGAATTTGTGACAGCTCACTGGCATTAGCTTGTATGGCAATAGTACTTACTTGACACCATGATACTAGTTTTTTTTTTTCTTGCACAGTCTTCAGGGCTTCCATTTTACTGCAATGTGTGGTACAGTTCAGATAGTAACATTCCTAAAAGAGAATTCTTCAGCAATCTGTGTGCTTTTAACCTGACCTGTCTCCCTTTATATGTTCACACAGGCCGTGCTCTGCTTTGTGCAACCCTCTGTCGTGTTCCCCAGCACCAGAATCTGTCTTCAGCATTGCATCTCTGAGTTGCACGGGAGGCAAACCTCCTTTGAGCCTGCTTGGCTCGAAGTCACCTTTCCCCTTCCTCACTGCCCTCCTGTTTCTCATCAATAGCATCACTCACATTCATAAGGGCCTGACCAGCAAGGTGAGAATAGACTTTTTCAGTGTAAGTTCTAGGTGAATGATGATACACTTGTAAGGGAGGTTAGTATTTGTGACTTCCCAGGCTTAAGAGTGATGTTAGTAGGACTAGTAAAAAGGAATTGTTGTATATTTTTATTTTAAAAATATATAAGTACTATAGAGAAAAATACCCCCATTTTTAGAAGAGGTGGGATGAGGATCTGAAAAATAGCTTCTGTCTTTGAATTCCAATATCAAGTTGTCACTATGAAGCTGGAATTATAAAGCAGGTGATGAATGATGATGGTGCTTAAAGGATGGATTTATAAAGAATGTTGAAGAGTGTTAAATAACTGTTGCTTGGCTAAGCAAAATAAATAACTGAGTGTCAGAGGAGGAGAGGGATGGTTGAAGCATGTATAACAAAGAATAACAGGAGAAAGTTAAACGAGTACGAGTGCCACAGTGGTTGAAGAAGTTTCTTCCCACTTCTGACTGTCCTGAATTTTTAGAATGAGAGCACCGTGGAAGACTGCAAACTCTGAAGAGGAAATGGTAGAGCCCTAGAGAGGTGGAGTACCTAGCATAAGTTTTCTCAGAGCCTTCCTCTTTCACCTTATGTTGAATTAACTGACTGGTTACTAAGAGGAGTATCTGGTCAAATGAGAGGAAAACATCTGAAGTCACTGGCCAGACTTCTGTCTTGCTGGAGAATGGCTCAGAGACAAGGGTCCTGTGCCTTTAGCCAGTAGATTGTAAGCCTGCATGCCTAAGTTGTGCCTTGTCATGTATTAAGAAAATCTTTGAACGAACATTAGCGCAGGCTCTGCTCATACAAAAAGAAAAAGGGGGAATTGTTGGAGAATGGCTCAGAGACAAGGGTCCTGAGCCCACCGAGCAATTGTATGATCAGAGCCTGCTCTAGCTGCTGATGCTGGGCCTCACTAGGTTTTGCCTGCAGCTGCTCACAGCTGCTGATACAGGAGGAATGTCAAGGACGCTTCGGCCCTGTGTACCGTGGTGTGTCGAAAACAGGTTAAGGGGAATTAGGAATAGTGGTCTGAGAAACCCAGTGTTATGATAACGGTGGTCTGAGAAACATTGTGTTACGGTACTGTCGTGTATTGAAAACAAGTCAACAGGAATCAGAAATAGTAGCATGAGAAACTTAGTGTTATGAGAAGCTTGGGCTGTAAGCTAACTGCAAGTAGGTGGACCATGCGAATACGACCTTTAGAGCTTAAGCCAATCAGCTAGTGACTAGTAGGCATAATAATTATCATTGTCTGTATAAATATATGTACCCTGGACCAATAAAGAGACACGTTGATTGATGCTCTATCTCCCACACTGAACCCGTCTCGGCGTGTCGTTCGTCCGCGGCTCCGCACTGTCTTATGAAGCACTATGGAAAATGTAGGCAGTGACGAGTGGTTACCTGCAGTTGGGGTGGTCTTGATGGATGCAGGTGAGCCCTGAGGCAGAAAAACAGATATTTGTCAGGCTATTTGAAAATATCCCTTTTGGAGTAGCCAACAGGAACTCTTGTGAGAAGGCAGGGGGTAGGCCCTGGAGAGGTCTATGTTTTACTTTCCTCCAAGCATGAACTGTCTTTGTAGTATATGTCTCCATTTCTGATTCCCTTATAGTACAGCTCTCTGCTGGACTTCAGGGGCTTGAAGGATTACCTGCATCAGAGCTGGCAGACCGGACCTCCCTCTGTAACTCCCTCATCCGCGTGGATCCTGCGCCATGAATATCATCTGCAGTACTTCGTGTTAGCATTGGCTCGGAGAATGGTATTGTTATTAGTCCTCTCATTTCCTTCACCTGAGGAACTGACTTCACCCTGGCCTCTCCAACTCAGTGCATCAGACTGGCAACTGGTCTTTGCATCCATGTTCTCTCTCACACCTGACCTAAGTCTGATGACTCTTCAGCTGTCTTTCATGCCCCATTAGCAAATAACATTTTTACAATTACTGATGTGGGAATTTAGATCCATAATACTTTGGATGGCAAAACTATATTTTTGCCCGTCTTTGGGCTAGAGTGAGAACGAAGTTTTCAAGTGTGGTGCTAAAAAAGATGTCTGGCTATCAAAAAAATCAGGGGAAGCAGAAAGCTTTTGGTATGAATGCTGACAGTTTTTGCAGTCTGCCTCAATCTCTCCCTTCCCAGTGAGATCTATGTCTTGGCTGACCCTCCTGTCCTTGTTGATTGTCTTGTTGGCAGATGATACAGTGCTTTTACCTGTTGTTTTGTTTCCTGTACAGGCAGGCACTTGTCCGGATTACGCCCAGCATGCCTCGCTCCATCACTGTGTTGCCATGGCATTGCTAAGCCGTCTGTTGCCAGGGAGTGAGCATCTGGCTTACGAGGTCCTACTGGATCTTGCCTTTAATCCAGAATTTCTTCCGTAAGCTTTGCATTTTTTTTCCTTTGTATAGTCTGGTACATGGGAAAGCTTGGAAAAATTGAAAAAGCACATGTTGGCATGGCAATTTTGTCATAATTTTTGGCCTTTAGTAGGGCCTGTATTCAAATTTTAGTTACTAATTGGCATGTTAGAAGCACAGAGGCTTCTAATCAGACCAGCAGTGTAGTTGCAGATTTCTCTCCTATGTACCAATGTTGAGAAATGTGACAAGTTTCTTTTGATCTCTGTGGCAAGAGTCCTGTGATTCCTGATAGAACCGATTCTCACTGAGGCCCAGCATCTGCTGTCCTGGGAGTAGTATGTCTAGAAAATATATGGGAATTTGACATAATGTGAAAAGCTTATTAAATGTTCCTCAAACCCTTATTCTACAAGTTCTCGCACATGTTTTTGCTGATTTGACAACTGTGACTTCTTCCACATTGCACTGTAAGAAATCATGAGCATCTCAAATGTGAAGCTTCCCATGTCTGGCCAAGAAAACGGTAGCAGCTTATCTTGTTCATCACAATCTCATTGAAATTTGCTGTGGTGCTTCCCTGTAGGAGATTGGACCAAGGAGATACTATAGTTTTTCAGAAAGAAGCAAAGGTTGTGAGTGGGTTTGTTTGGGTGGTTTTTATGGTGTTTTTTTAAAATTTTTGTGTGTATGTGTGTGTTTTGTGTATTTTTTTTTGTGGTGATTTGATTTAATTTTGTTTGTTTGTTTTGTGGTTTTTTTTTTTAAACAAATACCTGCTCTAGAGCTACCATTTTGTGAGAATTTGGCAAGTAATCTGAGACCACGGTCAGTCTCTGGTCTGAGATCGTGGCACATGGATTTGACAAACACAGCCCTCCCCACTCACACCCCTTCTCACCTCCCAGTTTCTAACTATCGGTCTGTATGGTTCCTCTGACCTTGCCACTGCCAGCTGCAAAGCTGCTATTTCGAGAATTGTCTTATTGATTCATGTAGGCCTTACGATATGTGGTATTTCATCTCTGCACCCTGACAGCCACGTTGGGAAGTAGTCTGCCCCCCTGGGCAAGGGCTTGCAGCCTCCACACCAGACTGCTGGCATTGTGGGGAGGTTTTTGATAGCAAGGCCTTAGTGTTGCTAACTGCAAATGTAGTTCTGTGAATTCCCTGTAAATACCAAGATAGCTGATGCTTTACAGACACTCAGTATTATCATAGCTGAATGCTGTAGAAAGTGTTGTGAGTACTATTCTTTCCAATCCAGGAAGATTGTAGACATGAATTTCTGTGGTGTTTTGTTTGTTTGGTGTTTTTTTGGGGTGTTTGCTTGTTTGTTTCTTAAACTGATGTTTGTCTTTATCTTACAGCGAAGGGAAAGCTGGAGGGCCAGAAGCAGCTGACTTCTCTGATATCCTGCATCTGGGTACTGGTGCCAAACTGGCACAGCCTGGCTCTGCGGCAGCATTTTTTTCAAAGGCTTCTCGTGGTGCCCTGCTGAGAGAATCCTACCAGAACCTGCCTTTCATCCGCTCCTGCTACCTTTCTCATTTTGTCCACTTACAGCCTACCCTTATGCGTTCCCAAGCATCCTATCAAGGACGGAATTACCTCATCCAGTCAATGCTGCTTCCTGAGGTCAAAGGGCCCATCCTGCCTTCAGACTGGCCCTTCTTTCCGCTTATCAGCCTTTACAACAAAGTGACTAATGCAGAGACACGCGGGGCTGTACTGAACTCTCTCCCTCTTGATCTCGTCAACACTGTGACCTGGAACCTGCAGTGGGTCTTGTTGCTAGAAACGTGGCGTGCTAAAACCCTTCAGAGCATCCCTGCTGCTGCCAAACTTGCACGCCTCATGTGTGTCTTCCTCACAGGCAGCGACCTCTTTCTAGAAGCACCTGTCCACCGCTACACAGCTGCCCTTCTCTCTGTGTATTGCCAACCCAAGGCACTGGACTCCCTGAACTTGGATGCTCCTCTCCCTGGTTTGGCATCCTTCCACGATCTCTATATAAGTCTCCTGGAGCAGTTTGAAGGTGTTTCCTTTGGAGATCCGCTCTTTGGAGTCTTTGTTCTTCTACCTCTACAGAAACGTTTCAGCGTTCATCTGCGTCTCTCTGTTTTTGGGGAGCACACAAGTATCTTGCATGCGCTGGGAGTGCCACTCCAGCAGGTAATCCTGGTTTATGGTAGTTGGCTGTCACTGCATATTTCTGGGTTACTGGGCTTTTGCCTGTGTTTCTCCAACCTTGATTTAGTCATCCTCCCAGCACTTCCCCTTCTTCCTCATCCCTCCCTGTGCAGTAGAATAATCGTGCTTTCTTTGCTTAGAAGCTTTTAATTCTCTCTGAAGAAACTCCAGTTCATGGAATGTAGAGTAGACTAGGAACTGAGAGCAGTGTTCTTTTGATTAAGGGCTGTGACAGTAGTAGTGTATACGTGGTTTTTTGCTGTTGTTATTTATCTTTTTTTAAACAGCTTGACTGACTGTAAGTCTGAAGAGCAGAGTCCAGCCCCTGTAGGTGCAAGCCCTTGTCACATAAGCGTTTTCAGAAATCTGTTGAACTGTATTTTGAGAGCAGATAGTGTGTAGGGCAGGAGCTGTGAAATTGTTCAGTCTTCAGTGGAAACTGTCCCACACCCTGCTTGGTCTAATGATTGAGAACCTTCTTCTAATTTATAGCTTGTATATATGAAGGGCTAGTCGACACCCCATGTTCTTCTGCCAGCAATTACCTTTCTCTTAAATGAGTCTTTTCTCACTTTGGTGAGAGCTTCTTCCTTGCCCAGTGCGTGGACAGTCATTTTCCATCACAACCATGTTTTCACACTTAGTTATACTGGAGTTGTGCTTTGCTGGATAACTCAGCAAGAAAATTTGATCTGTCAAGCACAGGACTGCATTTCTTTTGAATGAGGAGAGCACAAGAGATGGAATTTACCAGGCTTTAAGTTCTGTGTCAGTTGACAGACAATACCTGATCTAGCCTAAAGTTTGCTAATACAAAGATAACCTTTCAAAATTTTTTTCCAAACAACTGTGAACCAGCAGTTTATGTGAGATCAGTGCTTTCCACAGTGTGGTTGCAGCGCTTTTGCTCTGGTTGTAGCAGCCCTGCGGCCAGTTTTTCTGTTTCATGGCCAGATGAGCCTTTGTTTCTTAAGCCGTGTAAGCCAAAATATTATGGTAAGCTCTCTGTTCTCTTGATGTTCCTGGTAGCCCTTCCCTGTCTCTATTCCAGTTCCACAAATGTACGTAGGAACAGAGCATAACACCATATTCCAGATGCAAGCCTTGATTCTATGTCACTTACTTTATCTTGTCTTGATCCCTCAATCCCAGATCCATCAGTACCATCAGAATAGTGGCATGTGTCACAATGGAGAACACTTCAAAGCAGATTGGTTTTAATGTGCTTAGGAAATTTTTAAATGCCAAATACTTTGAACGATGTTTTCATTGCTGTGTTGCTTGAAAACCAACTGTTGGAAAATATGAGCAAGATCACTTGAGGAGGTGGTGTTTGCTTGTTTTTTTTTTCCCTTGTTGTCTTGAGTTAAAAACACCCTAGTGGGCAGTAGGAATACCCTAGCTGGCAGACTGCTTTTTGAATTGAGTAAAATCAATAATTGTCTTTGGAGCATCTTCTTTGCACAATTAAAGTGAGATATGTAATTTTAGCCCTAGAGAATTTATCTAAAAATTGAGAAGAATAAAAATTGGACTTCTGGTGAGGGGAGAGACAAACAAAACCAAGTTGTTACCTGAAGTTCTTCTAACCTATCTTTCAAAGCTAGACAGTGAAGTCAGAAAATGTTGAAAACTTCACTTAACAACATTAACTCTGGCATGTGCATCTGCTTTGCTTTTCTGGCTAAATGTGTAGGTCAGTGTAAGCTTCTCTGGTACATTAGCGGGATGAGGTGCTGCTGAAAGTACTCTGCCTCCTCACTTGGAAACCACTATTCTTACCTGTGCTAAAAAGCAACTGCAGCGATGTAGCCAGTAAAACTCTTCATAAAGCTGAAGAGGTCTTGAGGATGCTTTGTCAAAGGCATGTCACATTAGTCAGTGTGGGCAGTAGCAGCTCTGCTCCAAATGGGGGTCGTGCTACTGAGGTACATCCTGTTATATAGGAGCGCATGCACAAACAGCTGAGGAAGGGCACCCTAAAGTTGTGAACCTCCCCTTACTGTTTAGACCCTGTCAAAAATTGTAACGTTGCTTCTGGGTGGGTTTGTTGCAGTTTCCTGTGCCTCTGGAGCGATACACTTCCCCCCCTGAAGATGACCTGAACCTCCTGCGACTCTACTTCCGGACACTGGTCACTGGTGCACTGCGCCACACCTGGTGCCCTGTTCTTTATGTGGTGGCTGTGGCCCATGTGAACAGCTTTATTTTCTCCCAGGACAGCACGGCACAGGTAGGTAATGGAGAGCAGAGCCTCAGGGCTGGAAGCTTTGGGTTTTGCACCTGCTCTTCCCAAGGGCCCAGTGTGGCTTGTGGTGAATCACTGACCCTGGGCTTGAAAACAAAAACTGTAAGCAAATATTCTGAGGACTGGTCAGCTGTTTGAGAATCCACATTATACCCTAAAGCACTTGCATTAACAGTAGCCAATCCTACATAAACCTTCAAAATTGGCAACTACATGAGCTATGGTACAGCAGGGGAAGAATGAAGCAGAGAGGATGATCAGGCAGAGAGAGCTTGTAAAAACTTAGTCTCTGCCTGGGACAATCTGAAGACTAGAATACTCTTCCCTTTCACTCTGCTTGAATAACCAAGAAGCAGCCCTCCAGTGGCCTTGGGACCTCTAGCAATGATTACTTGTGCTAACACTTCACCTCTGATCTACAGTTCTACCTGGAAGTTAAGAAGTCAGCTGAATTTCAGGTCAGGGGAAGGAGGAGAGAGGCAGGATCCAAGTGATAGCCATCTCAAGCCCTTTCTGCTGGAATAAGTTCTTCTTTGGAGCATCATGATAATGAGCAAAGCATCCTCCTGGAGTGTTGTATGCCTGTGGGCAAAGGTAGCATTGTGCCATACCAAGAAAAGTATGTGTTTTGTTCCTAGGAGACTGATGCTGCTCGGAAAAGCATGCTGCGGAAGACGTGGTTGTTGGTGGATGAGGTATGATCTGTAAGGTTCAGTTTATGCCACTGGGACTTAAGTTTTTCAGGCATGATACTCTTACAGATTTACATTTGGCTTTTGAAATTTGCGTTTAGCTACCTTGCTAATTTAAGAATGAGCAGCAGGATTTTGACCTGCGATGTCTATAAATACTGTTACCCAGTTCTTGTAGTTGAACTCAAAACACTGAGCCCATTGGAACATAGGTGAATCTCCTGTACTGTATTCCCACACCTTTTGCCCAAGCAGCATTATATCTGGACAGTGAGAGATCCTAGAGGGATGATGCTAGCACATCTATGAATAGGTGGCCAGCATTGATCTCCCTTAACTCTTAGTTGGATGTTTCTCCCAGAAAGAACAAAACAAATGTAAGTTTTCTCTTTTCCTCAGGGAGCTTGCCAAAATCTGTCACTTGTGTGATGGAGCTGGGTCATTTGGTCCTTTGTTTAGCGTCCAGGGTAAATTCTTAGATCTCACTCAAAACCCCATTTGGACTTCTGGCAAGAAGTCCATTGTGAAAGGTTTTTAAGGAGAAGGTGGAGTTGTGTTTAAAAGAGGAAATCTCATGCAAGTCAAAAGTGAATTTTCTCGGAAGAAGCTTGACTTTTACAGCTCTTCTGTTGAAGCAAATAAATATGTTTAGTATGATGGAATTGTACTATCTGCCAGCTTGCTATGTTGTGTTGCAGACAGGGTGGAAAAAATTAGATTCTTTTCAGACATGCTTAATGGCTGCTGTTTCTTTCTTCAGACCTTGAAAAAGCACCTACTGTACTATAGACTGCCGAATGCAGAGAGCCCCTTGGGGTTTGACCTTTATGAGCAACTCCCTCCCATGCGACTGAAGTACCTGCAGATGGTGACACAGAAAGAAAATAAGGAGAATGCACCAGTGCTAGTCTCATAGCAAAACACTTGTGCAAGAGGAAGACCACGGTGGAGAACGGAGGAGCTCAGTTTATGCTTCACTGATGAAGCTACGTGCACTTCAGACAGTTTCAGTGTCTTACCTGGACACTCGTGGCATCCTTGTGAGGTGAAGCACTACTAGAATGCTCCCAGCCCTGCAGAACAATAGGCATCTTCTCAAGATACGACAATATGTGTGTGTGATGAGCGTTGGAGCATTTTTCTCCATTCTCTTTCAGGTGGTTCTGTTTTTCCCTGGAGAAGGTGAGACTGTCTGAAAGGCACTGGACTGTTGAATAAACTGAAGGAAGGGGAACAGCTATTTTGTTCAGTCAGGCTGGAGACTGTGGGTTCTCAAGATGATGTCTGTCTTCCCCAGATCTTTCCCTTGTATTTTTTTTTTTTTTTTGGTACCCTGAATTTTAAATCGATCCTTTCCCCACGCTATCCCTGTCAATAAAATGACAACACAACAGGGAAGAAGCTGATCCCTAGAGCTTTTTTTTTTAAAAAAAATACATGCAAGGAGTTTCTCTAGGACAGAGTTCTATGCACACAGTCACACAGACGTGTTGTGTCAGACCTCTAAGAAATAATAGTTCCCAGTGCACTGATGCAAACACTGGATGTCCTCCCTTGGTTGTCTTTTGGATAGTCTCTAAACTGCTTTATTTTGTCCCTTAATTTGGTTACATATATAATAAGATCAAAAATAATTTATTTGTAGGGCTGGATGCTTGGCAGTAACCACTCCCCATTAAAGAAAAAAAGGAATGTATTTTAAGTTTTAAAGTGGAGTTCCTAAGCTTCAACCTAATATTAAAAATTCCTAATTTGATCCCTCTTCTACATGAAAATTCTATATTACAGCTTCAGACACAAGGGCTACAAATATAGTGCCCTAAAAGGCTTATCACAACTGCCAGGTCAAGTGCAGAATTTTACCCTAGGTGTGATCTCATGGGATATTTAATTTATATCCAATAATTTTTGCAGAACAATAGTCATTCTGGCAGGCTTTTGTTCAGAGAACTTACTTCTGTAAACAAAACTTGTTAAAGTTATTTCTTGTTTTGTTCTTATTGAATAAATTCCTCTGGAAGGTGCAGGGTGATGCCTAGCCTGAAGACCTAAACTTCTCTTTACCTGTCAGACAGGCCAAGGTAGCTTCCCTCCAAAGAAACTATGCCTATATAAACCTTGCTCCAGTGAATGTCCTAATGAGTGTGAAACACTGTTAATAGGCCAGCTTGTAACTGTTGAAATTGTTCTAGACAAGAAACAAGTTCTAGCTAGCAACTTTATGGCTGTGGCGTTGTCTTTGCATTGGCAGTTTTCTAAATGGGCCAGTCCCCCTTAGGTTGCCAGAAAATAGTTTCATCATTTTCACCTCTTAAGTCAGATAGGACATGGGTGGACCTGATGTTTCATTTTAATCTCTATTTTTTTTTTTTTTCCCCCCTCTATTGGAGCTTTTGATCTGTGGTTTCTCTCTGCTGCAGGTCAGTGGCACATAAAGTAACAAAAGCACCGTGGTCAATGTGTTTTTTCTGTTGTTAATTATTTTAAAAGTACTTGGTGTGATTAAACTTTTAATCAAAGGCATTCAAGTTTCTATTCTGTCAAGATGATGAGAACCAGCAGTTGTCTTTCAAGAGCAATGGATGGTAGAATTTAAGGACTCTTAGGTGCCCATTTAAATCAGCCTTCATCAAAGACTTCTGAGAATGTTTTCCTTTATTTAAATCTTTCTTGAGTTTGGATAGCTGTTTGCAGTTTGTCAACATCTTGGGAATGCTACTGTGTGATGAAATCCACTGAGTTTTGCAGCTCTGTAGGAAAGCTCTTCAAGCCAAAAGGCATCATCCTGCTTGTGTGGTGGGTCAGTCACACAAGGTACCAAATGCTGTGTGTACTTGGGGAAGGTGCAGGGTGGGTATTATGTGATCTGTCATGTGCCACAGGTGGGAAGACAGTATAAAAACTGTCCACTGATGATGTTTATAGGTGATGAGAGAGGAGGTGGATTTAAGTTATTTTGTGAAATCTGGGAAGGAAAGGATTAGGCTTTTGCCTGATTCTCAAAAGCCTCTCTTGTTCCCAGATGTTCCTCAAACATGGAAAACCTTTTGATATGAAATTCTGATGCAAGCATCAGCAATGGAGGGAAGGAGAGGATCCCAAATAGTTCTGCAGGCCACAGTTGTGTGCACAGCATTCTGAGGACACTGCATGTGAGCCATAAGCTTTTAAAACTTTGGCTGTCACATAAACTTAGAATTGCTGTACCATCTCAATTTTTTTTTAAGGCTTTGGGCAACCTTCTGCCAGATTTCTCCACAGAACACTAGAGGGCATTGCTTTATCTAGTTTAAATACAAACATTCTCAGCTTCAGTGCTAGTGGGACTTAAAAAAAAAAAAAAAAAAAAAAAAAAAAAGAAGAAACAACCAACCTGGTTTGAATTTTCTGCATTTTTTTTAATTTTGCATATACCTTGGGAGAAGGTGCGGAGAATTAAATACTTTTTGGGGGGATTGATTGCTAAGAATCTCAGTGCTTTGCCAGCAGGAGCATTTTGGAAAAATCCTGGTAGAGTGAATGGAAGCTTAAAGATTAAACTGAATGCAGCCTGAAGCAGGACCAAAGTGTGCCTGTTCTGTTAATCCAGTTTAATGCTGATCAGAGTAAGTGAGGAGATGAAAAAAATGGATGTGACTTCTTGGCTTCTTAACTCCTTATCAAAAGCTTATGATTTATTTGAGAAGAAAATAATTCTGCTGAAATAAGACCCACAAATAGGTTTCTAATATTAAAGCGTTTCTAACTCAGACAGGTATATGTTGTCTGATAACTAATCAGAAGACAAAAAACCCATCACCAACCAAATAAAAGAAAAAAAAAAAAAAACAAACAAAGAAACAACCAACCAAACAAACAAAAAAACCCCAAAAAACAACAACCCACAGATGTTGTCGTTTAAATCTTAGAAAGAAAAAGAATACATCATCTGGTCCTATGTGGCTAGAAAATGCTTGATTTCATCCAAGTTACTGATGTTATCCTATATAGGAACTGTGGGAATCTGTATTGGGACAAATATTAGGATAAATTGGGAGAGGGGCTGTGCTGAAAGGCAGCAACTGGCGTTTCAAAAACAAGTGGTTGGTTGGACTGGAGTGGAGGATAATCCTTCTAGCTCTGCTGTTGATCTGGCAGGTAAGATGGTGGGGCTGTCACAGTTTTGCATCCCGTAACTTTAATGGCATTAGTTTTCTGCATTCTACTGAATCTTTTTTTGCATTTTTAAAGGGGAGAGAGAGTTTTCCCATCACCTTGGAAGCATGTCCTTTTGTACCTAGAAGAAACAAAGCTGATATGCGATCCTTTAACTGTGTAAGTGGTTTGAATTCCCTGGGTTTAGGATCTCTATGTGGTGACTTGGCCCACTTTGCTGAGCAGGGGCAGTTCCCAAAGCAGATGTAGGCAACTCAGTCACTGCCTGTACTACACACCGAGGTGGGGCAAAGCCTCACAGAAGAAAGGGTTAGGCAAGGAAGAAATCAAAATAAGACTGAAACTCCACTGTATGTTAGCTTTTTAACAGTAAAGTACACATGAAGCAGTATAGGATTAAAGCACTCGCATTCCACTATTGACTACTTCAGTTTGACAGTAGAATTTAATAATCCATTTCTAGACTAATGCATTCTGTCTGGCCACTTAATATCAGGCAAACTATAAACACCTTTTGCTGATGAAGTCATGGACAGAAAGAACAAGCCATAAGATGTGTGTGTATAAATATACTACGGGTCAGACAAATGCATTTCTTTTGGTGTCAGAAAGTAGAGCAGAAAGGCATGTTAATCCTCACTTTTGCTCCTTCCTAGTTCTGCAGAGTTCTTGCAAATCTCTCATCAATGAAGTGGTGCTACCTCCAGGTGTTAATCAAATCTGAGGGCAAAACCGTGTTTCTTTCAGTTTACAGAAGCTCATATAAGGTATCCATTCACAAAGCTGGCCCTCTGATATCCCTTGTATAAATAAGTTAATGGTAATTCACTGGCCTTTGCCCTAGTTTTTAAAAACAGGCCTCTCTCCCCCACGCTTTGAATGGAGAACACGCAGTGAAGACACACTCTCAGAATTGCTGCTGTTTTGTGTGATGAGCAGTGTTTGTACACAGGGGTAAAATAGCCACTCTGTGCTCCTCACCCCTTTTTTTCTGTGGTTATCTTATGTCTCAAAACAGCTGTTGCAAAAATGCCGTATGTGGATTTCTAGCCAGCCCCAGCCCGAAGAAGAGCATAGGGAGCTCTAATTGAACACAGCTGAGGGTTCAACCCTGACCTAGAGTACTACTGATGTCAAAGCACAGACACCTGTGTGGTGGTGTATGCTAAAACCTGAGGCTGGTTCATTAGTTGATTGTGAAGGCTGGAGGGAAGTTTTCTGGAACAATCTGGGTGCAGGGAGCCCATCCTGAGGGGTGGCAGCTGTGGGGCTAGGCAGGTAACGGGGGGCACCTGGGTCCAGCACCAGCCCTCAAAGAGCTTGTGGAGGGGCCAGCAGCAGCATCCCAGGCAAGAGGAAAATACTGTGTTTCACCCGTTTTATCTGCTTTTCCAGAGCGCTGGGTGGCTGGCAGGGGCTGTTGAGGCTGCGGACCAGGTTGGTAGTGTTAAACCGTGTGTTTGATGTGCTGGGGCTGATGCGTTCCTGTTGGGTCTGAGGCTTTTGCCTGGCTGAGGGGATTGCTGTGGTTTTGGGGCTACACTGACGTTTGCCTCATGCTTCCCTCAAGGGAGGAGGGAGGGTTGCCTGAGTCTTCAGCCTTGTGCTTGTCCTGCTCTCAGCGAGGCCTCGCTTTGGGGTGGTTTGTAGGGCCCTGGGGTAACCGAGGGGGCTCTGGCAGGCCCTGGGCTCCTCCAGCTGCTGAGTGTGGAGGTGGAAAAGCCCTGTCCTGGTAGCAACTTTGGGGCTGGGGGAGCAGGAAAGTAGGTGCTGGAGGTCCCACCACAGCACATCCTCGCTCCCCGACCACAGTGACCAGTATGAGGCTTTGGGAAGGGACAAAGGGAAGGATTGAGAGAGCTAGTGAGCGCAGAGGGTGGCTCAGTTTTTGACTGCCGTTGTTTCTGGGCCTCTCATATTGAGGTGAGATTTGTGGTTCCCCCTCTTCTCCACAATGTCCTCCTCCCCCAGTACTCCCCTCATGTTTTTTTCTATGTACCGATTGTCCTTCACTTAGGCTCTCCTTCCCTTCCAGTCTCTGTTTACCTTTTTATTTTGAGTTTTCCCCCGCATTAATAACTTCTAGGTTTTCTCTGGTTTTTTGCACTGTTTTGGCTGGTTGTAGAAGCAATCAGTAATTCCACAGTTAAACTGGAGAACTGAGATGCTGCTGCTGAGTTTGAGATGGAGGCTCTTGTCTCAGGGTGTTCATCTAAAGGTCTGGGCAAATGTCCATAAATAACACATGCGACATGCCCATTTGGAAACCTTATGGCAAAGAAGGCTGTAACTTTACTTTCAAGACTCAGATTGCCTGCTGCATAGGTGGTGTAAATACACCATGCCATTTGGGTCTGATCTGTCAGATATTTGATGGCACTTTAGCAATTAATCTATTGGATCTGTCTGCTGAAAGGAAGACTGGTGCTTTTTTATCAAGTGACTTTTCTTCACTGTTACTGCTTCCACCATAGTAAGTTTTTGCCTTACAAAATGAATGAGCATGTCTCCAAACCAATAGTCTAGACTGCCTCAGTGCACGTGGGCTTTTAGCAGCTTCCATGACAATGCATGTTCAGGGTGGCTCTTTGATCTCTTCAGAGCAGCAGGAGGTGCAAAGAGCTCTGAATTAACTTCAGGTATCCTGTTGCCAGTAGTGAATTGTAGTTTCAGGGTGAGGGGGAATTGGTTTGTGTTGCACCACGAGGACACAATGACAGCCCCACAAATGTGCTGTGCAGCTGTGAAGGTAGGTTAGCATCCTTCACAAAAACCAGCTTGCTACTCCTGGCATCAATATTTCTTTCAATATAGATTATAAAAAATAAATTTAGAATGTTACAAAAGTTTCTGCTAAAGCATCATGCATCTCTGTTTCTGACATGAGCGTCAGCTCACTCACAAAATGTTAGTTGTGCTGCCACCCAGAAGACACCACAGATGGTGGCTCATTTTTGTTCCTCTTGGTACTGTCTGCTGTAAGATTGATTAGGTTTGGATCGATGAAATTATTTGGGCAGGAGCTGCCATTGCTCTCCTGTCTGTCCACTGTTAAAAGAAGTGGGAGGAAAGGGGATGTAAAATATACTTTTTAGTGTCTTTCCCTGGTACTGTTTTGTGAACACTTAAAATATTCATGGATAAAAGTGTGGGTTTGCTGACCATGATTCTTTGCAATGAGCTCTTATCAGCAAGTTTCAGATTTTATAGCTATGTCTGAAGCTAATTTTTTTTTTCCTTTTGGGGGGGAGGGGCTTATAATTTTTTGTAACAGTACAATTTGCGAGACAAAAATAGGATGAAAAACTTTAGGTATTCGTATTCGACAGTGACTCCTGCACATCACAAGTCAAATGGTTTAATTCTCA